ACAAGTCCGAATAACTTACGATTTTGATAGAGCAGATAGAACATTTGGTTTTTGACCTCATGGTTGAAGTAGTAGCAGCATACTAGCACCCACTATCTCCTGCCCAGAACCTGTGGTGGTGCACACCTAATAACAGGCCCAAGGGAGCTTTTTAAAATTTTTTAGTAGAGGTTTTACGGCGCTCGCAACAGCATAAGGTCATATGATGAGCGCCAAGGGGTGGATGTCAACAGAGAAGTCCATACAGGGAATCAGGCTTACTCTGCTCACCTCTCTAGCTTCAACAGCACAATGTCTGCTTCGACTATCAAGGCACCCCGGAAATAGCAGGTCACAAGAGCATGACAAATATACAGAAGAAGTAGAGGAAAAAAGTAAGGACTAGGAACGAAAAAGCAGCAGTTCCCTGTTGCAGTTCAGGTACAGTTATGAGCATGACATTGATGAATCAGTCAATTTACAATTCTACTGTGCATAAGAACATGTTAATGTTCCCCAATTGGGAATGGCCTAAAGGCACTACCCCGGGGGGGGGGGGGGGGGGGGGGGGTTAAAAACCAAGCATCACACCTCCTTAAAAGTCTTTGTAGAGAAAAACTTTCATTGAAATGTGTATTCACACTTGAAAAGAGACCCATTAATGGGCTAGGCTAATCAAGCAGTTCTTTTTCCACATGAAAATATTTTTTCATAACAAGTATAAAATTCTGAAACAAGCTTTCACTCTGACACACCAAACAGGTATATGCAGGAGACACAAAAAAAAAGAAAGTGAAAAAGATTTAAAAATTAAGTAAAAAAACCCCAAAAAAACAAGTGCTGTGGTGAACTAGAAAAATGTTACAAAACTAAGAAAATAGCCAAAAATTGAAAAGAAAAATATTCTTTACAAAGTCATGCTTGTACAAGGAAGTATTTCTCACATACCAAACATTTACTCAGTAGTGACTTGATCAAAGCACACAAAAAAAATTCACAGACTGATACTATTTCTACGCTTACTACTTAGGCCACCCTCATATGTTTTAAAACATTGCAACAATGCTTACGATATAATTCAACATAATACTATAATAACAAATAAATAGCATTTATTATTTCTACATGTCGCCTAATTCCTAATTCAAAAGATATTAAACTGCACTCTCACAAGCTCAAAAAGAAAATGATCAAAAAGCAGGTACACCAACATATGTTACAGTAAGGCCACAAAAGCAAAAGTACACCCAGTTTTTGATATCAACTTTGAACCCTGTTGCAATTCTTTTGTCAACTGGGCAAGGCATTGAACTCAAAACCAACAAAGACAGACTTGATTTCCAGCGGTCTGTCCTGTCTAGAGTTCAAAAGTTACTCTGTTTATCTTCCTGCTTCTACTCAACTGCAAGAAAGGTATTTAATAACCAACAGAAGGGCAAAATCAGTCTGATCTAAAGCTACACACGAATCGAGAGATTGAAGAAATAAAAAGACACACGATAATGGGCTCACGAATCGGGAGATTGAAGAAATAAAAAGACACACGATAATGGGCTACAGGCTAACACTTGCGATGTCAAGGGAGCCTCCTATGGTAAGGGATACACAGCTCCACAGCTGATACTATACATTACACCTTTCTTTTTTTCACGCATTCTTTTTCTTTGTGTTTTGCCCATTTCGTCTTTCAACAATGTTTTGAATTCGAGATTTGAATCACCCTTTGTCAGGTGCTTCTCAGAATGACTTGAATTCACAAATTTTTAACCAATGACTTGAATTCACAAATTTTTAACCAATGACTTGAATTCACAAATTTTTAACCAATATTTCTAGAAAATTGTGAATTTGAGTCACATGCCAAAAAAAACCTGGTATACAATAGACATCCAGGACCTCAACTGAATTTCTAATTTTAAGACTACAGCATCACGACATGGCCAAAGCTGAATACAATTTCTTTGACACAAACCAAGAAGAGGCTTCAAGAAAAAAATTTGTACTGTCAAAGTCCGGGTTATATATGTCAATAATGTGAAAGGTAAATAAATAATAAACTTTATTTTTGTAAAAACTCTCCGTGCCTCCTGCGCACAAAAGCGCCCAAGTACCTCAGTCTATCTTTGACAAGCCGGTTCACCCAAAGTAATCCCCACTAAATAAAGTGTACTGAACATAACCAGCATACAACGTCTTTATAAAAATATTTCAAAATGAATTATGTGACTGAATTGAAACATTCGTTTTATGTGCATCTCAGTGTTGCAAACAGTATAGTTCATTCATACAAAAAGCGACAAAGGCATAATTCGTAGAATACACATAATATAAACAATCGTTGAAAGACATGGTAAAGAGTGTCAATCTAGCATATCACAAGAGAAGCTTTAGTACAAAAGAGGTGTTATTATGACCCAAATTTAAAGGTGTATATGGCTATGAAGATAACTGTAGGCAAAAATTGAAATGCTTTTCAACAAATTTTGCTCTCCACAAAAATAAATAAGGCAGCCCGCAAGGGTAAATATTACATACACAAAGCAGAATAGAGCAACAGTAACTAGATCTATCAGTTTTTCCCTCTTCACAATTTTTTTTGACATCAGAATGTTAGCCACTACACTATACGATTTGAGGGAAAAAAATGCTTTGAAATAAATATACTCCTGAAGGAGTACACAAAGATCATACATCACTTCTATGAGAGAGAGCAAATTATCAGCAGCCTCAATTCACATTATAAATGAATCTGACTATGAGCTAAACTCACTATTTGTATTTCTTCCAATACCGCTTTCTCTTCAATATACCCCCCCCCCCCCCCAACAATCTTTAAATTAAAATAAGTCCTTATCATGTGCATTACTGATTGGAATCTAGCACACAAAATGTTCAATTTCAGTTTGACGGCACTTGAAACTGCATAAGTCCAAATGATTCTTCAAAACCTAGCACCAACCCTTATCTCAGCTTCTATTTCCATGCCAGGTGTGGTAGGAATCTATCCTGTAATCTAAAAAATCTGACAACTGAATTTCTTGGCCACATATGTTACCAAGTTAAAAAGTAAAAAGACAAAAAAACAATCCAAAAATCATGTCATGAGCTGAGAAGAATAAAGCAGTAAAATCTTGGCAATATGTATGGCAATATATCTATTGTGCCCAACAAAAAAGAACATATCTTTCATGGGACACAAAGATGGAAAATAAAGCCAAAAAACCTCTTCTGTCAGAAGTAAATTATAATATGAAATCAAAGGTTTGAAAGTACAAAGTTTTTCAAAACTTCCAGGACTCTGTGATCGAAAAAAAAAAGTTGGCAAACACAGACTTGTCAACCAACTGATGACCAAAACCAGGAGAAATCTCTCACAATCCTCAAAAAAAAAAAAAAAAAAAAAAAAGAAAGAGGACTCTGAGAGGAAATAAAAGGAGTCATCTAAAATCCAGTAAATTAGGTCAAATAATGAACTGATAGTTACAAAATAAAAGAAAGTAAGAAATGAAACCACGAGTCCCATCAACTGGTCATATGATTATAATATTCTGCCACCAACGGGCCACATGATCACGACATGACATTCTACCACTGATTGATCACATGACATTCCACCAGTGACAGGTCACATGATATTTCTGACCACCTGGTCACATGATATTTCCTGACCAACGGGTCATATGATATTTCCCAACTCACTTGTCACATGACATTCCACTTCTGACAGGCCACATGATATTTCTGACCAACTGGTCACATGATATTTCGCGACCCACTAGTCACATGATATTCCACTACCACCCGGTCACATGATATTTCTGACCACCTGGTCACATGATATTTCTCGACCAACAGGTCACATGACATTCCACTACCAACAGGTCATATGATATTTCTGACCACCTGGTCACATGATATTTCCCTACCCACTAGTCAAATGACATTCCACTACCGACAAGTCACAATGATATTTCCCGACCAATGGGTCACATGATGATATTTCATGTCAGCCCCCACCAACTGGTTTGACGTGGTACTTGCTGAAATACATTCTTTTACTTTAATTACTTTGAACATCAACATGTTTACTTTCTTCTGTCTCTCCATAATGGCCACTGAAGAAGAAATAAAAACTAACATGAAAAGACAAAGCCATATTTGAGGTATTAGGGCATTACTTTCCCTTATTCATTACATTACAGGCATGCAAAAATCCAAAAATGTTAACTCTTCATCTGTGAGCTGCCACATTCTCATCAATTGAAAGGGTTTTTTGTTCCTCTTTCCGCATACTGAGTTTGAGTTTTACAACAATTGTAAGTGGAAATAAAAAGTTTCATCCTTTCCAGGAACTCTTGCTTTTTACCAAAAAAGACAACAACAAAAAATACAGCATTATTCAGTGTTCCCACAAGTCAGCTGCACCAACTGGTCACATGACATTTCCCCATGACCATGTCTGCAATATGGTGTGTGTGTGTGTGTGTGTGTGTGTGTGTGTGTGTGTGTTTGTATGAAAGAGAGAGAGAGAGAGAGAGAGAGAGAGAGAGAGAGAGAGAGAGAGAGAGAGTGAGAGAGAGAGAGACAGAGAGAGACAGAGAGAGAGAGACTGAGTGAGTGAGAGAGAAAGAGACAGAGACAGAGATGGTGATCTATGAGTGTTTTGACAGGTGCATGTGCATGTACGTACTTAAACCATGCTGCAGCAAATTTCTCTGTGTGGAGACCAATGGATTGTCATCTCATGTCATCTCATCTCATTCTATCTTATCTTATCTCATATCATTCTATCTTATCTCATGCCATCCTATCTCATCTCATTCTATCTTATCTCATCTCATATTATAATAAATAGCATTTATATAGCGCATAACCCCGCTCGACAGCAAGCTCTATGCGCTTTAACTATATTATTACCCCAGCGGACCACAGAACACTCAGAAACATTTTCAGCTTCCCGGGAAGCATACATCTCATCTGATCTCATTCTATCTTATCTCATCTCATTCTATTTAATCTCATCTCATGTCATCTATCTCAGCAGTGGTGCGTGAGCTGCGCAGTCTGCTGTTGCTGCGGCACGTACTTCTTCTCCACCAGCTGCTCTAAGGCCGCGGCGACAGCGTTGGGGATGTGGTCGGACACCATCTTGTGGCTGATGACGATCTTGTTGAAGACCTGGGGGTCGCACCACACGGCCGCATACTGGGCTTCTTGTCCGCAGATGGACCTGAGTCATAATGATAATAATGATGATAATAATAGTAATAATAATATTATTTAAAAAAAAAAAATATAATATAAAAAATGACCAAAAAATGGTAAAAAAATAACAAAAATATAATCATAAAAATAATAATTTAAAAAAATTAATAATGAAGATTATAATGATAATAATCATAATAATAACAATAACAATAATGACAATGAAAATAAAAATAATAATGATAATAATGACAATGAAAATAAAAATAATAATAATAATGATAATAATAATAATAATGTAAAAATAATAATAATTATAATATTAAAAATAATGATCATTAAACTAAAAATAAAAATAATAATAAGTAATAATAATAAGAAATACTATTTATGCTGCGCATTTCCATTTTTAAAAAAAAGCTCAATGCGCATTACATTCATAAAAGATACCACATTTTAAAAAATTAATGGACACGTGTGAACGTAAAACATAATATTGTATATATGTATATTACATGTACAAAAAATGTTCTATTAGAAAATAAGTCATGTGGTGAGCCTGGCAATGCATTCACTATAAAATGATGGACCTGAATGGGACAGATTTCATATTTCAAAATGATTTTATCGATTTGAAAGGTCTTTGGTCCATACATCCACACATTATAACATATGACTCAGCAAATACATAATTTTTGTGCAGCGCATCAGATAATTTACTTAAATTGGGGACAATACTGAATGGGACAGAACAGAGAACTGACAGTAGTTTGTTACTGCTTGTATTGGCAGCTTTAAAAAAACGTAAGAGTCTTACGGCACTTAAAACACAATAATGTCTTTTATTAGTGCTGAAGATTAGAGGTGACACAAGAAAGTAACCAACGCAAAAGAAGAGGAGAGATCAGGATGATAGATGTTTGATTAGAAATAGAAAGAAGGAGCAAACCACACCAGACCACCCACCAGTCAACCTCCCATGTCGGCAGTTTTTCATCCCACATTGACACAATTTAGATCAGGGGTCACAAACCCGCCGCCCAATCCATTGGACAATTGCGGACTATAGAAAAATATTTCGCAACCAATACTTGACATCAAAATCAAGGATTAGTTCTGCCAGCAAGTCTTTCCCCCACAAACCTTTTTGTCACAGTATTACCTTGAATTTTTACATTTTCATCACCTTTGGGCTTCTATAGCTCAGGTTCATGACAACTTCCCCTGGCATTGTTGATAAATTTTAAAACTTGATTTCAAAGTTGTAGACCTACTCTTTGAAAAAAAATACTTGAACAATGAACAAAACCTTTTTTTACGATGCTCGCGTTACATGAATCAGTTCATGCTCACTCAGACTCTACCGCCAGTGGCTCTGCGGTACCTTGAGTCTGAGACCTCTGATTCAGATCATTCAAAATGTAAGCTACTTCAGAGAGCAAGTAAAAAAGCAAGACCTACCAGTGGCGCCCTCCAAACACTCTCTCAGACGGCATCATTTCGATAGGATTTGGAAAAGAAACAAATTAATTAGTTTTTAAAATTGTTTAAAAATCAACTCACGACTCTTCAACTTCGAAAATGTGCAGGATTTGTCCGGCTGGGTGCAGTGGCCAGTTTGTCTTCATCACCTCACTGGCTTGGTTCTCTGCCATCCGCAAGGCCTCCTGAAAAAAAGATTGATAGTTTTTAATCTGGGTAAAGAGAAGCATATCTGTGCAAAAATGGTCATTTAAGCAGGGGAAAAGGCAAATAAGACAGACAGACAGAAAAAGCAGAAGGAAAGAAATGAAGTTGAACTGGGGGAACGAAACTAAGAAAGACTGAGGGAAAGAAAAGAAGTAGGACTGAGGGAAAAAACAGAAGAGAGAAAAGAAGTAAGACCGAGAAAAAGAAAAGAAGAGGGAAATGAAGTAGGACTGAGGGGAAGGAAAGAAAAGAAGTAGGACTGAGAGAAAGAAAAGAAAGAAAGAAAAAAATAGGCCTGAGGGGAAAAAAAAAAGTAAGACTCAGGGAAAGAAAAGAAATGGGAGTAAAGGAAAAAAAAGATGGAAAGAAAAGAAGTAGGACCGAGGGAAATAAAAGAAGTAGGACCGAGGGAAAGAAAAGAAGGGAAAGAAAAGAAGTAGGACCAAGGGAAAGAAAAGAAGTAGGACCGACGGAAAGAAAAGAAGTAGGACCAATCAGTGGTCCTCCTGGGAAGAGAGGTCATCGTCGTGTTTACACACGCCTGTCAATTTAACAACACTGCAATTGTACTGTCCATGTACTTCAGCCTTTATGAACTTTGATTCTCTATAATAAGATAAGATAAAGGAGGACACTTGTTCTTCTTAGCCTCACTGATCTCTCACATTTCTGTGATTTTAAGAACAAGAAAACATAAACAAATTTGCCAACCACTTACTTAATGACCAAAACTGAGAGATAATTCTCAGAATTACTACCGCACACAATATATGGAAAAGCAAAAAGACAGAAATAACAGAGGTTGAGAGAAAATAGCAAATCATGTATGAAAAATGAAACAATACCAAACAAAAAGCAAAAGAACAAAAAGCTTACTAATCTAATTCAAAATCAGACACAGGTGTGTACAAAATACAAGAGCGGTGCCCATAAAATTAGTTCCTTCTGTACCAATATGTATTTAATGTGCAAATATTTTTTGCTGTCCAGCCAAAAGAGACCCAGTCTGAGTTTCAAAGTAAAACAACATTTCTCAGAAGTCTGTTGATGGAAAGTAATACTCAAGACCAAATTGTTTGTAGATATTCTACCTTATGAGCCAAAAATTATCAAGAATCTCTCTAACTCTATTAAATCATAACAGTACAAAGATCATTTTGTCTCCTACGAAGAGAAAAAAAAAAGCATCAGAGTTGTTCAGTAAGAAGCAGATCCTTTTGAAACAAGTTTCGTACAGTAATGAACTGCTTCAAAAAACAGAACTCACACGTTCTGTTATATTTGCACGTCCCTACATAAAGATTTATCATATAACTTTTTGTTTCAAGTAAAAATAGTTTGATATTATACATCAAATGAAATCAGAAACAGAATAACTGTAATAAAGAACAGAGTGAAAGACAGTCTCCAAGGTCTATGTGAGTCTCGTTTCTCCACACTGTGTCGTGTAAGGACTACACAGAAAAACCTGTCACCGCTAAAACAAGGATAATGTGTGCAAAGAATAAAAATCCTTCAATTCAGTTAAAAAAACAGTTTTACGTTAGAGCAAGAATGTTTCTCATCTACTCCTCTTTACGGCAAGCCACAGAGCTACAACAAGTTCCATGCAGTCAACAACTAATTTGCTTCACAAAATTATTATTCATACAGGTGTGGAAGTTCCAAATAGATACTTTTTAAACACTCAAAAGCAGATTTGGTTTATTTGTTTGAGTACAGAGAAGCACACTGACACGATCAAAAAAAAGAAGATTATCAGATAAATTCCCATCCCGTTATAACTACAAAAAAGAAAATGCAGAAAAACTAAAGCAATTTTTATACCAGCACTTTTCTACCAGTGCCTCTTGTACCCCATGTAAAGCAAATTCAAGCAGGACTACTGTACACGTAATGAAGAGTCTAGGAAAAACATGGAGCATCACAAGAAGAGACACGTCACAAGAGTGAAACAAAATATTGTAAATTAAATTTCGATATAGTTCAAACACCTTGAGAGAGAATATTGCCCTTTACACCCAGCTATCAAAGATCATAATATACATCAGGCATGGGTAAGCGTGTCTGAGTCTTAAGATGGATTATACGATTCAGAAAATTGGGTGAAATTGGTTGAAATACTCGAGCTCTCAAAAGTGAGACTAAAACAGACACTGAAGCATATGTCACTCAAGGAAATTTCATGAGATAGAATATTAGATCTATTGCTTTCGGATTGGCCGCAAAACTGTTGATTTGATTTTCAAGATGGACCGTTCTGTTTCACTTTCTTTCTTTATTTAAAAAGAAATTTTTGTTTTAAAGGACATTGCCATCCACTATATTATATATAGAGGCCAAGACTTCATCTTCAAATAGTATCTGTCCCACTTTGGACTCAGCACATGGCCGAAAAGTCGGAAACCGATACTACACTTTGACCTTAGCCAAAAAGCCGAGAAGCGATGGTTTTGTCTTTATTAATTATTAACTCGCCGCAGGCCACATTCTTTACCAATTACTGGGTCGAATCGCCAGCTAGACTCAAACTGTTAGGCCCACAGGCTGCAGTTTACCCATGCCTGATCTTAAAATCTACATACTTTCAGCTACACAGGCAAAGGAAAACCAAGACCAAGATGACAAGACAGAGAAATATATACACCACTATGCGCTCACAACACAGACAAATGAAATATGACAACTACTTGACAGTCCAAAGTCCAATAGGTCGAGTCTCTCCTCTATATATGTCGCAGCACAACACAATGGAAAAAAGAAAAGGAAAAGTAACTTCCCTCTAGAGAGAAAACAATTTGCTGTTCTCGGGAGAAGAAAAATTACTTCATGCAGGCAAAGTTTGAAAAAAAAGGGGACTAATGAACATGCATTGCATCAGCACACACACACACAAAAAAAGACATAACACACAATCTGAAGAACTCTATACTCATCAAAAAGAATCTATCTATAAAAAAACAAAACATGTAAAACACCATAAGCATTACCTTGGTTCTATAACTGACTTAACACTACAAATGACTTCCACTTGGTTAATTAACCTTTTTGTGAAAGACATTTCATTTTAACAGAAGGATTATATAGGTTGACGTGATACCGTTAACTGACATAATTACAATTAGAAGTAAGCAATGCATCTACATAAATATGGCCGTCTCGATGCTGCATACGTGTTTAGAGAAGAACATTTGACCTGAAATCATAAACAGCTGGGAAGCAAAAACAACAGAGTGATGGTAAAGAACTAGAGTCTAGTTTAGCCTACCACTGTCAACCTTCAACCATTGATGATTTCTTAAAACAAGTACGTATTTGACTGTGAAAACTATTCCACTTAATACTCAGATATTCTGCTCACAACATAGATCACACAAGGGAAGGAAGCAACATCAACAGTCTTTATGAATATGACATCAAACATTCCCGAAATCAAAGAGAACCAAACTAAACTTGAAAAAAAAAAAGAAAAGAAAAAGGGGACAGAATAGGGACATTAGACAGACATATCACAACACACAAACTATTAGTTTTAAAGAAAAGGATATAGAAAGAGTTCCACATGCTTCAAGTGACAGGGAATATCCAGGCACATTTTTCTCTCGATGCATGCAAAGAACAAAGACAGTACCTGCAGAGTGTGGTCCTGAAAGCGGCATGGGTCAAAAGCCGAGAGAAAATTAAAACGTTCATTCAATATAATTTCATACAGCGAGTGCGTGTGATGTATGCTTTTGAATTTTCAGAAGAATGGGGAAAAAATGCAATCCTAGAATGTATTTTGACAGAGGAATTCATATCTCACCATATTATATGAAGCAGGCATAAGGGAGGAGAAAAGGTTGAGCATGTGTTTTGAGTTATGAATAATACATAAGTCAAGCTTGAGAAAACAGGCGTAGCCGAGCATGAGCACCCAATATTAAAAGATTTAAAGAGGAATTTTTACGAGACAAAAGTTTGAGGAGGAAAAACTCAGAGCTTCCTTCACTGCAAGACAGATAAATGAGTAAATATAGTACCCCCCCCCCCCCTTACCCCCAAAATCCCCATTTCCACTTTATCAAAAAAATCATAAATATCACAAAAGAAATATTTTAAACTCTTGGCTTAAGAAGAGATGCCTGACCTTTGACCAAAACAGCACTATCTGAGTCCGGGCCATGAAATTTGTAATTTACATCACAAAAAAACAAAAAACAACCACAGTTCACTATAGGTATTTTTAAAATCATCAAACCAGTGAAATGATTTGACATGGAAATCGGAAAAATCAGACATACACGGAAAACATACACCATAACATTTTGTTCAGAGAAATTGAAAATTGAAAGCACAAGAACAATAAAAGGTACCAAAAAAAACCAACAACCATTCTTTGTTTTACTAATACACACATTAGAAATTACACGTCATAGAATAAACATATTTGGGATAAGTTTTTGTAAATACTTATATATTCTGAATACAACAGCTAAAAATAAAAATGCTGCATTAGTTCACCGTCTGCCTATATGAAGCTTCCTAGGTGCATTACTTGGTTTGAGAAAAAGTACATCAACATAATAATCGTCATTGCCGGCAGGAAAAGAAGCAAAACAGACAGACAGAAGCAATAGAAGGAAGAAAGAAAAGTTGGACCTACCAGAGGCAGGCATCCTCCCACCACCACCCCTGGTGTACCATTTAAAAGCAGAGGTCTTTAAATCCAAATAAAATATCAGAGACATCTTGCTTCAACACAAATATATGGAGCTGATTGATCCATTCCTTTCAAAACTTGTTACATTATGACAAACACCCAAACTTATAACAAACAGACAGTGAAGTATAGAAATGAGACCCTTTTATAATACCACATCAAAGACCATAAAATGTATATGACAGAAATTAGTAATGATTTATCTTAGTAGAGTCAATGAAATACAGCAGTTAACAATGATTTATGTTAGTAGAGTCAGTGAAATACAGTAGTGTATCCCCTTTTTAATAACACCTCAAAGACCCTGAAATGAGTTTGACAGGAATTAGTAATGATTTACATAAGTAGAAGTATAACCAATATTTTTAGAATGTAAGCCAAGAGAAAAGTGATTATTTAATTAAGAATCACAAATGTAAGGGCAAGAGGACACGTTGTGATCAGAAGTCACCACACATAAAAGCAAGCAGAGCATTCAATTTTTGTTGCAATGAAAGTTCAAAACATACACTTGACAGTATTCAGAAATATTTATTCAAACACTTCTACTGGGTAAATCAAACTTTTAAAAATACTCAAAATAAATATGATGGCAGCAACCAAGACTTCTAATGTTATAAAAAGTTCATTTACTTTAAGTCCTTCTAAAAATTTTTGATAAAAAGATGACACATGGTTTTTCCTTCTCAGTCTGAGCATACAGAAAGTTGTCAGTATTTATCAATAAATGATCACCACGTCAAACTGACACTCTATTTGAAAAGATAGCAAATTTGTTCCTTACAACTGGAAATGTGAATCCAATACACGTAACAGAAAGAAAATAACAGGTAACTGTACACTTCATGATAGAGACAGAATATGACGTTAAGTTAACTCTTTAACCCCGGATTATTTTCCACATTTCGATGCAATTTTTTCCAGATCTCTTGAAACATGTATCAGGAGATACTAGCAAAATATTTATAAAAAGTCTAAAACTGCGTCAAAGTGAAAGAGGAAGTAGTTTATACATTTATCTAACACTTCCTAGCCAAAATAAATTAACGAGTATTCGGATTCGTAAGAGATTGCATCAGAATGCACCCTGCGATTTGACCGGACCGTGGGACCGTGGGCCTGTCCACTCAGGGGCCGGGCAAGTTTCACTGGATGCTCCCGTCATCACTCGGGGTTATAGAGTTAAATTTAGTAGCTTTAGTACGAGTTTTAGGGCACTTGCAATGCAGTTATGTCATATAAGTGCCGAAGATTAGGAAAGTTACTGAAGATTAACATACAAAGGAAAGGAGGAGAGATAAAGATGACAGATGTTTGATGAGAAAAGAAGGACCAAACCACCCCAAAGCACCTGCCGACCACCCATCGACGGACAACAACAGTCTCACCTGCAGAACTGTGGGTCGCTCCTCCATGTAGCGTGTGAGTGGTTTGTCTCGGATCAGCAGCTGAGAGGATCGGTCCTTGCTGGAGCTACGCTTACCACAGACCAGTCGTGAGCAGCCTGTCGCCAGAATTCGATACTGGAACAAGATCAGATTTAGCTTTATGCAGGGTTTTTTTTCCCCCCAATATATTGCAGAAAAGAGAAGAATATTGACACGGGGGGGGGGGGGGGGGGGACAAACTATGGAGGTTACCAGACAAACTATGGAGGTTACCAGTAGCACCCTCCACCCACCCCCTATCGACGATTGGATTATATTTTTTGTAAAAAACTCAACCTGGTCATGAAATAAGACACGTGAATTATACAAAAATAGGCAATATAACTTACACAGGGCGCTTGAACAAAAAGAAATTTAAAAAATAGAAAGGACAAAAGGGGAAACATGATATAACAGGTTGAGTCTTGTTTGTTTTGTTTTAGTAGAGGTTTTACGGGGCTCCCAACTGCATAAGGTCATATGAGCGCCAAAGGGTGGATATCAACAGAGAAGTCCTTACAGGGAATCGGGCTTACTCTGCTCACCTCTCTAGCTTCAACAGCACAATGTTTGCTTCGACTATCAAGGCACCCCGAAAATAGCGGGTCACAAGAGTGTGACAAACATAAGAAGTAGAGGAAAAATGACGATAGTAAGGATTAGGAAAGAAAAAGCAGCAGGTCCCTGTTGCAGTTCAGGCACATTTATGAGCATGACATTGATGAATCAGCCCATTTACAATTACAATTCTACTGAGCATGAGAACATGGTTAAGTCTATAGTAATCTTCTTTAAGATACTTTAACAGACAAACCTGCTTTAACAACCACCGGTCGAAGACAATTACGTGTACAAACAATCGATTCCCACTCCCCTCACCCCTTCACCGTGGGTTTTTCTATAATATAATGACACTGTCCAAGATGTCCACCTGTCTAAGGTGACTAATTTCCTCTTGACAATGGGTGGCTGTCTTAGATAGGTTCAATTGCATTTCACACAAAAGTCCTACCATCAAAATTTCCCTAACATCTTATTCATAAATATTACAGTCCTAGAACTACTCATATATTTATTCCTTTAAAGATGTCTTGACCCATCTTTAACTATTTTTCACCGCCATTCTTCCTCCTCTTCTCCATTCCCCCAACCTTTCCCCCACTCCTACCCCATCTCCATCCCCTGTGTGTCTATTCAGTCTTGCTGTCACATCTCACCTTTCAGTTGTAAGAAGTTAGTAAGTTTATTCAGTGTTTAAGGCCATTGGCCCACATCACAACATATAAAACGCTCATTTGTAGAATAAAATTTTCATAATTTAAAAAAGTACAGATTGCGCTCATATCTCTTATCATGGGTCAATCAAACATTGCATATTTCTGTCACTGGGCCCAGTCAGGCTGGGGGGGAATTAACAATTACCTTCGGGTAGTGGCACTCGTTGAGAGCTTTCAAAATCTTGACTTTGAGATCTGCCAGAGTCGACATGCCCAACCTGGGCACCAAATCTTTTCCCACCACGACAGAACAGACAAAGTCGAGAGCGTACTTGCTTGCCTTCGGGCTAGGGGAGAGAGAAGAAAGAATACGCAACATAAGATAAAGGTAAACTATGCAGAAAAGAAAGGACCAGAAAATGTTTATGAACTCAAAACTCAAACAGCACATCCATTAAAGACTAATAAAAAAAGTATTACATGAGAGAGGGAGAGAGAGAGGGGGGAGGGCGGGGGGAAGAGGGACAGAGAGGGAGAGACAGAGACAGAGAGATACAGACAGAGAGACAGAGAGAGAGGGAGAAGAGAGAGATAGTTTGTTCGTTTGAGTAAAGAGAAGCGAAAAAGGTAAGACAGTCAACAGAGGAAAAGTAAAGAAGTAGGACCTACCAGTGGCGCCCTCCAACCACCCCCAAAGAGAGAGAGAGAGAGAGAGAGAGAGAGAGAGAGAGAGAGAGAGAGAGAGAGAGAGAGAGAGAGAGAGAGAAAGAGAGAGAGAGAGAGAAAGGAAAGAAAGATATTAAGAGAGAGAGAGAGAGAGAGAGAGAGAGAGAGAGAGAGAGAGAGAGAGAGAGAGAGAGAGAGAGAGAGAGAGAGAGAGAGGCAGACAGACAGACAGACAGACAGACAGACAGACAGACAGACAGACAGACAGACAGACAGACAGACAGACAGACAGACAGACAGACAGACTCCTTAAAAAGAGATAGGACTGTAATGAAAAGTGCAAAAGCAGTAATCTTTAAAATGAAATTATCAGTCTAAAGTGGTTACTACTGATAGAGACAGTTTACACATCGATATGTCGGCTCCATACTTTCTCACTGTAACGGGCACTCCAGAAGCATTAAAAGAACCCTCATTGACATGCAACACTTACTTTGAGTATTTGACTATTGGTTTCTCTGCTTCATTACATATTACAGACATGCAAACAATACCTGAATCTTAACTCTTTATCTGCAAGCTGCTGCATTTTCAACGGTAAAGTAGTTTAATTTCATTGACTATTTACGAGGAAGCCCTCAAGCCACCAGCATAAAACATGCACACATGTATAATACATGTCCAAAATTCAGCAGTTTAGACATAACAGGTGTTTCTAAATATCAAATGACTATTTGAGTGTGTGTGTGTGTGTGTGTGTGTGTGTGTGTGTGTGTGTGTGTGAGTGTGTGTGTATGTGTGTGCATCTGCGTAGGTAAGTGTGTGTGAGTGTGTATGTATCTGTGTATGCAAGTGTGAGTGTGTGCATGCGTGCATGCGTGCATGCATGCCTGCCCGCATGTCTGCGAGTGCGCATGTGTTCGTGCATGTGTGTATATATGTAAATGTGTGCCTATGTTGACTTGCGTGTATTTCGTGTTTGTATATTTACCATACCGCAACAAATATCTCTTTGTGGAGATCAATAAAACATTACGGTATCCAATGTAATTTTATGCAGTAGTCACCTCATGAGGCCGCCCGGGGGAGAGTAGGAGAAACACATTAGGTTGGGGTACTCTTGTCGCAGCAGGACGGCCAACAACGCCGCCACCCCCGCCCCCAGACTGTGGCCCGTCACGACGAGACTCGCCCCTTGCTGGAAATACAAGAATTTTGGTATTAGTAAGAGTTTTACGGCATTTGCAGCACAATAAGGTCATATAAGTGCTGTTGGAGATTAGAGGTGCTGCAAGGAAGGGAGTAACAAACACAAAAAGGAGGAAAGATCAGTTTTAGTAAGAGTTTTACAGCACTTGCAACACAATTAGTTTTAGTTATAGTAGAGGTTTTACAGCGCTCCCAACTGCATAAGGTCATATGAGCGCCAGAACACAATTAGGTCATATAAGTGCCGAAGAATAGATTATGTGTTACAAGAGAGTAAAATACACAAAAAAGGAGGAGAGATAGAGACGACCAGATGTTTGATAGGAAAGAAGGAGCAAACCACATCATTTTTGTTTTAGTAGAGGTTTTACGGCGCTCGCAACTGCATAAGGTCATATGAGCGCCAGAAGATTAGAGGTGTTACAAGAGAGTAACAAACATAAAAAGGGAGGGGAGATAAGGACGATAGAGGTTAGATAGGAAAGAAGAAGCAAACCACACCAGAGCACCCGCCAACCACCTACAAACCACATCAGAGCACCCGCCAACCACCCACAGGAGGAGAGATCAGGACGACAGATGTTTGTAGGAAAGAAAGAACAAACCCCCACCACAGCACCCACAAACCACCCGTGAAATAGAAAAGGAAATAATATCACAGCCACTGTCTAAATTGTCCAAGACGGCCACCCGTTGACGAGGAAAAAAGATGTTGTCTTAGACAGGTGAACGTCCTAGACAGTGCCATTTTAATAATGTAAAAAAGACACCTCTATCCAGTTCTCCCTAGTGAGAGGCCATAACATATTTCCAAGTAAAATAAAAAAAGAAACACTTATAGACCACAAAATCACAGAATGTCCTCCAAGACATTATGATTACATAAAATAAAATGACTTCCAAAAAAGGAACACACTCATTCAGTTTTAAAAAGGACCCACCTGCAAATAGCTGAAGGCTGTGTCAAGAAGTTTCAAAGACTTCAGCTCTGACTCGATGTACTTGGCACAGTCCAGCATGGCCGAGTGGCAGAAGCTTTCTTCCACACCGGGGATGTCCAGCGGAGCACCCACCGCCCAGATGTCAGTGAGGGCATCCTAGGATCACGGACAAAGGAAAACTTGTATGTCAGGGCAAAAGTGTCAATTCTATACCTCGAAAGTCAGATGTCGATTCCATACCTAGAATGTCAAATGTCAGTTCCATTCTTCAAATGTCAAAAAGGAGAGGAGAGAGAGAGAGAGAGGGGGACAAGAGAGAGAGAGAGAGATAGGAGAGAGAGAGAGAAGGAGAGAGTGAGATAGAAAGAGTGGAAAAAGAGGTATAAAGTGGCATGTCAGATGTCAATTCCATACCTCCAATGTCAATGCCCATACCTAGAATGTCAAATGTCAGTTCCATTCTTCAAATGTCAAATGTCAATGTCCATACCTCAAATTTCAACTCCATACATCAAATGTCAATGCCAATGTCCATACCCTGAATGTCAAATTTCGATTCCATTACTGAAATGTCGAATGTCAATGTCCATAACCCGAATGTCAGATGTTAATTCCATACCTCCAATATCAATGTCCATATCTCAAATTTCAATTCCATGCATCAAATGTCAATGCCAATATCCATACCCTGAATGTCAAATTTCGATTCCATACCTCAAATGTCAAATGTCAATGTCCATACCCTGAATGTCAGATGTTAATGTCCATACCTCGAACGTCAATGTCCATACCCCGAATGTCAAATGTCAGTTCCATACCTTGAAGTTTAAGTAAAATGTTTAATGTCTATAACTCCAAAGTCAAATGTCAATTCCATACCTCGAAATGCACTCTATTGACCTGATGCAGTCGTAAGTGATGTACAAATGTTACCACGCAATACTTCGAATAATTTAACTCTTTCTGGTTCACATTCTTCGCCTAAAATAGCCATCCATCAGTGCCACTTTCTATACACACAACAGCATTCCAGCCTTCACATTCTTAAATGGTAGGTATAGTACGTTGGTAATTCATTCAGCATTTAAAGCCATTAACCCTCATCACACAAAGCATACAGATTTTACAATTACAATTCACATTCCTATGCCGTGAATGGATGGGAAGTAAAAATAAATTTGCGACTGCTGGCGCCTGCTCTGACACACTTTCCTCACTAGAAATGAAAACAAGACTACAGCTTTAAGCCAGCGATCTCTTTTTATCACAGCCAAGCTTAGCTTTCCATTGTGGAGATATATACGCTGTGGAAAAAATGAGACACCCGTCCAGCTAGTTCAAGCTTGGTTAAATGATATTGCTGTACTTTGTTTTTTGGTCCGTTGTGATACCATGTTGAATAGAAAAGGGTTAAAGTGTTGTTTCTCAACATGAAGGCTACGATATGGCAGCTGCCTTTACTGTGGCTGTATTGTCATGTAACGATGTGTTCTGTGTATACTCTTTTTATGTTTTAGTAAGCGTTTTACAGCATTAGCAATACAATAAGGCATAAGGTCGTGTAAGTGCTGAAGATTAGAGGTGTTACAGGAAAGTAACAAACACAAAAAAAGAAGGGAGAGATTAGGATGACAGATGTTTGAGAGTAGGGAGAGAGAAGGAGAGAGAGGGAGAGAGAGGAGAGAGAGAGAGAGAGAGAGAGGAGAGAGAGAGAGAGAGAGAGAGAGAGAGGGGAAAGAGTGAGGGATAGATTAGAGAGAAAAGAAAAGAGCGAGAGAGAAAAAGTGGTAAAAAGAGGTATAAAGTGGAAGGTGTCCGAAAAATCCTTTATTACCTGTAGAGACAACGTGCCTCTGATGCTCACTACAACAGCATTCTTCTCTCGATCTAGCACAACGTAAAAGGGAATTTGCTTAAACTGAAATACAGAAGTAAGAAAAAAAATTATAGCGAAACTTCTCTCAATCTAGCATAACATAAAGGGGAACTAAACATTTTTTTAGTAGAGTTTTTATGGCGCTCGCAACTGCATAAGGTTATATGAGCTCCAAGGGGTGGATGTCAACAGAGAAGTCCTTACAGGGAATTACACTTACTCCCCTGACCTCTCTAGCTTCAACAGCACAAAGTCTGCTTCGACTATCAAGGCACCCCGGAAATAGTGGGTCACAAGAGAGTGACAAACATACAAAAGAAATGGAGGAATATGATGATAGTAAGGATGAGGAAAGAAAAAGCAGCAGTTCTGCGTATGCAGTTCAGGCACAGTTATGAGCCTGTCATCGATGAATCAGCCCATTTACAATTTTACTGAGCATAAGAACATGTTAATGTCCCCCTTTGGGAATGGCCTAAAGACACTTCAGTCAGTAGCACTGCCACTCGATGGGGAAATGAATGCCTAAGACTACACAACAAAAAAGAAAAAAACAACTTTGTAAGAAAAGGAAATAAAATAAATTAGACTGTACAACAAATGGAAAAAACAAACTTGTAACGAAGGGAAAAAGAATATCAAAGAGAAAATACATGAGAAAAAAACACCATTTCATGAAAGTTTCAAGACTACACAACACATATAAAAAAACAATCTTGTCATTAGAGGACATAGCTGAAGATATTCAACACATAGAAATAACTAGCTGGGCCCCCTTTCGATGAAAGGAATGATCGGTGCATTAACATCAACTGAATATCATTGGCTTATTATATTTACACTCTACTGGAACGGAGCAATAAATCTTGAGAGAAAAGTGACACATGTGTTTCCAAGTTGCCAAATATGTAATAGATGCATAGATTGATTCTCTATTCCGCTTTCTTGGTTGTACAGAAGCGTGCTGATTGTTCCCAGTAGCAAGAAAAAGAATTTGACAAAGGAGTCCAGAAAAAGCGATGATGGGCATCAAACGAAAGGATCACAATCGAATTTAGCACCAAGTAAAACAAAAGAAAACATGAGGCTCGATCTATATGGGTCACACACTTAAAATAGAGCTCAGTATTGCCCGACAATGCGTGATAGTATCAAACGGAAGTACGACTTGAAATAAACAAACTTGGCGGATTTTCTAAAATTACAGAGACAGAAGCATCAGCCTACAAAAGCGATCGCTTTTTGCAGCAAAACTGTCTCAAAACTGAAAAAACGAAGGGCGTCATGATCTGGAGAATATTTTAAAGAATCTTTTGGCGAAAACTGCATGTCCATTGATGCAGCCATTAAAAAGCCTTTTGAATAGCAAAATTCGGCCACCACAAATAGATAATAAATAAATAAATAAAAACAAACCAAGTCGCGAAAGGAAAAAGCTAAGACTACTCAACAAAGAAAAAAAAAAAGATTTAAAAATTACCCGACCTTTTCAAGAAAGAAAACAACTAAGACTATTCAACACAGAAAAAACCCCAAATAACCCAACCAACCTTGTTATGAAAAGTGACATAAACTATATCTTCTTCAGCGATCCCCGACAATTTTTTTATGGCGGCCGTGTTGCACTGGCAGATGTTGTCTCGGAGAACGCTGTTTGATTTGCGGATACAAGCACAACACCTGGAGAGAGAAAAACGGTGAGGGGAGGTGAACATGGCCTTCCTTCGGTTGATAAACGGGCTGGTGCCAACTGTTTTTACATAATTACACTTTGCGGTCACTTGCTGCAATAATTATAATGCGGTGGTCAAAATGATTCATTCCGGTCACTTGACGCGTTTGTGCGACAGGCCGCGAGAAGTCCGTTGCAGTCACTCTCCTGGCTGGTTGACCAGATGGGGGTATTTTGTACCTGCTGGCTGTGTGACTGCAAAGTGTTAATGAGATGAATATTTAGAGAGATTTTCCTTTGGTCAGAACACAACGTACTGTTTGAATGTTACTGTCATATTTCATATTGCAAAGCGCTCAGAGCCTGTGTCGGGGTTGAGTGCTATATAAATGCCCTATATTTTTTATTATCATTCTCCACTTAAGATCAATTGAGAAAACTTTCTCAAAGAAAGTAGAGAGTGAGAGTGTGTGTGTGTGAGGAGGGGAGGGGAGGGAGGGGGGTAGGTTGATTTGCTCTTTTTAATACAAGTATAAGTTATTAGTTTAGTTGGTGCTGTTGTCATTGTCGTAGTTGTGATTGTTGTCATCATCCTATTATTCAGACAGAAAGTCATATCCCAGCAGAATATAAAGCATTACATTAAGGTAATTGACAGTTGGTGCAAACAAACAAAAATTTGGTTTAGATGATGAAAATGAGTAGGGCTTTTATCAGTTCTTGGGTAAAGGTTATTGAGTGGGCTTAAGTATGAGAAAATAATGATGGAAGTACTACATCTCATTTGCTATAGATTTACAGATTTCTGAAACCATTGACCATTTTTTGTTTGACATTCAAGGAAATGATCTATTGAGAGGTAAGAAAGAACAGTCAAGGAGTATTAGTGCCAGATAATCAGTCATTTTAATACCATAAAAAAATAGTCTGTGAAGCTAGAACTGCCGACAAGAGCACGAAAAAGAAGATTTAAATATTTACAAGTAGAGCGAGCAACTGACTGATATTCATATCCCCTTTTTGGTTCTTCTTACTGTTAAAAATATCACTGTATTTACTTACATTCTGATAAGTCAAAGATTCTGATCACCCAAAAGTGCTCCCAAAACACCAGAAACGGGAAAAGAAAGGCCAGAGTTGAGAGCCAACTGATTTACCTGAATTTTGTACTGAGACGGCAGAGTCCAGTCGTGAGGTGTTGGTACATGAAGAATGGCCACCCGTAACTGCCCATGGCGTAGCGAAAGAAGTGGTTCATGTTGTCTATCTGCATAAAAAAAAGAGTACATCCCGCAATAGACTAAAGCTTTAAATAGAAATATTGAAACTGAGCAAATCATGCATGAAAAGGTTAAAACAAAGTGCAAAAAGAAAATCGAGAAATACAACATACTATTACCGTAAATAGCATTTAGCATTTGTATAGCGAAAATCCCCACTCAACAGCAAGCTCTATGTGCCTTACAATCTATACTATTACCCCCGCAGACCTGATAGCATTCTGAAACAATCTCAACTTCCTGGGGAGAAAGCAGCCATTTATAAGCGCTAAAACACTAACATACCGTACCGACAAGATCTTTCGCTGTCTATGGCCGGGTACCCGTTCCCACCTGGGTGAAGTGAGGAAAATTTGTGTAAAGTACTTGGACCCCCGCACCAACAACCTCACGATTACAATTAAACAATACATTTCTTGAAGATGCACAAAAGAAAAAAAACCCCCAAAAAACCCCACCGTCATCCAGCTTTTAGGCTGTGGCACAGCAGCTCCGTTGTTGAACACGGGTAGGGATGGTCCGTTCGAACTTGATCCAACTGTGACGGTGTTGAGCTGATCGTCCTGTTCTACCTGGTCCTGCTGTACAAGGACTAGACCAGCCACGATGTCACTGGGCACAAGGTCAAGGTCCTACAGGATTCAGACGACAAACCGCATTTATATTTTAACTATTTATTCATTTATCTACAGTAAATATTTTATAGCCCTACAGACACAATTTAGATTATTCAGGAGGTGGGCATTCTTCTATCTATCAGGAAACTAATTCAATGTCATTCTCCACCATCTGATAATTCTGGGGGTGAGGGAAGGCTATACTTTACTTTCGCAGAAAAATCCAAGCGCTTCATGAGGTCATATTGAGAGACTTGATTGAGTGTTCGTCTGGGAGAAAACAATGGCTTTTACAATTGAATACTTTATTTTATTGAATTTACATCTAGGAAAGCACACTGACTTTGAAATAAAACCCAGTTTCAAACACACGATAAAAGTGCCGTAAAAGCACAGTTAAAATATCATGAACCCTTCCCACTGAACAGAAAAATTTACAACAGCATCATTCACATTCATACATATGTTCATTATAAATTAGATTAAAAGCATCATTCGTGTTTGAATACCCATGACCTAATTACCAGTAGTATCTACAATAGTGCCACCATTTACTGTACAAGTCTCTAGAAGGATGCAATATTTTCTTACATGAAAAAAGTCGGCAACAAGTTTGGCAACATCCGAAAAAGCTTCTCGAGTATCTTGACTGAAAGAAATGCAGCAGCACATACAACGGCATCTGAGAAATCAAAGAGAAAACAAAAAAATAAGTTTTTAATTGAAACGACCTACGTGATATCCACAGACATAGCACTGATCTTTGAATTTTTTTAGTGATCAATAACAATATTATAAGGACTCTTTGCATGGAGCCACATATAACAAGGGTGGGCAGTAATGGATTTGACTGCAGTGAGATGTCAATGAGAGAGATCAAAATCTTTTCCTTGCATGTAATGTCCTTTGATACTGACAAAATCTTAATCCTCCCCTGAGAATGCAATCTAACATGGTTGTAGAGATCCACCAGTAAGTGTTTTGCCACATTATGATCCTTTTCCCTTATTTCAATTATCGAAACAAACAACCATAAAACATCACTGTAAAAAAAAAAAGAAAACTTTAAAATACAAAGAATCTGATTGTTAACAATTGGCTCTGAAACATTTCTAAAACAAAGTTTGCAGCCTGCAAGTATATTAAGAGGCTGGGAAGGATGCAAAAAGATCTAATCTTAAATGCTGTAAAAATGAATTTCAAAACTTAATAGCATAAATCACATCATAAGAGCCCTATTTAAAATGCAGTAAGTTTGAAAAACTTAAACTCCCTGTTTGCGAGGTAATAATTTAGAAAAAAAAAAAATGTCTTGATAGTTTTTCTGGGCAACTCATTTACAGCAACAGTCAGAAAGCAATACAAATATCTCTCTCTTGTTCAATACAACAATCGTGTTTTTATAATTCTTCAAGAAGTCTTAGGGTTTTTAAAAAATGTTTGTGCCACAAACCTGTTCTCCCAAACTTTGGATGCAGACACATTGCTTACGGACAAAGACTCATCTCCTTGCCCACTCACTCTGCAAGTGACCGCACTCCTACTCTTGGCAGATCCCACCGGGTCGAAGGCCATCAGCACCGAAAACATGACAAGACCACAAACCAACCATGAAAAGATAACGGCAGCCCTGGCAGTTACCACAACAGAGTAATCACATATGTACGAGTGTCCAAAGGCCCAAAACGTGGACAAACAGACCCAAACAAACTCTGGCAAGAACAAAAGCAGCTTCGCATACAGGCACTTGCAGACATGCCGCCGGGGGTAAGCGTTTTTTATTGATCCCTGTCGAAGAAAAAAGTACAAACTTAAGTTTGACAAAAAAGGACAATCAAAAAAGAAATTGACAAATAGGAATAAATCATTCAAGTTACATAAACTAATTATGCAAGACCAACAAATGATGTTTACCCCATCCGTACGCCCTGGGGTCATTTTGTACCCCCCGGGTTGTATTCCTCAGATTTTAGAATACTTCTAGTGCGAAGATCTCTTTGAAACTTTCAGTATTTGTCAAAATTAACTGCTATGCAAAGCGTACAGATCGGATTAACGAGTAAATGTCCTCTTTGGAAAGTGGTGGCACAGAGTTCCCCACGTCGTGTGGATACGATAATAAAACATGATGTACGGATAGGGTTTAAGACTGTTCTAGTGAAACTCTTTTCTAAATATCTGACAAAGACTTGTGTCACTTATGTTAAAATTATTCAAATAAAAGCAGAATCATCTCACTCAATTTTCTTTTACTTTTAAGATATGTTAATTTCACTAGGGGCTTTTTATAGAATAAAATATACTAGAGATATATGAGGACTAATATATAGCAGAGTCTGCTTAGAGGTCTGCAGGACCACCAAATTTTCTTCAGTTTGGCAACGTTTTCAGTTTAGAGAGATTGCTTAATGAGTGAAAAACAAAAATCTGAAATTAAAAAAAAAATTGGTTTACTGCTGTTTTCGGATTAACTGTGTTTCAGTTAAGCCGACTCCATTGTATTTTGTTTTCAAAGGTATAAAAAAACAAAAACAAATCAAAACACATAATGCCAAGCACAAACAGGACAAAACAAAAAGGCAATTTTCTTACCTGCATGCTAATATACAGCAAGATTAAGCTGGATATTAACCCCAGAACATTCAGCACTAACGTGCCAATGTAGAAAAACCTCAGAGTATGACCATAACTGCATTCAAAATCATCATGATGGATGGAAAGAATGATGATGAGTGTCAGGAGCCTGAAAAAGACAGACATAAATAAACACTTAACCCTTCCAGCCATGCCACTTTTGTGCATTCCCTAATCCCAGTCCCAGTCAATACAGCAGTATTTCAGAAAAACAGGCATGCATTCTAAAAAGTGATGTAGTATCTTTGTATTGTAATGAGGTTTAGATAATTAAATAACAAATAACATTGTTTAAAGGTAAACGAACAAATATTAGGAATTTAAATAGGTTCGCTAATATCGACAAATGCGCAAATTTGACACCACCCGAAACTGAGAATATACTTGGGACGGTGGGAGGTACAAGCGCTGCTGAAAACATAAGTGCATGGGGCTGGAATGGTTAAGTATGACCATCCTCATTTTTTTTTTTTAGTAAAGCCCTCGCAACTGCATAAGGTCATATGAGCGCCAGAAGATTAGAGGTGTTACAAGAGAGTAACAAACATAAAAAAGAAGAAGGGGAGATAAGGACCATAGTTGTTTGATAGGAAAGAAAAAGCAAACCACACCAGAGCACCCGTCAACCACCCATCATCCTCTGCATCTTCATGAAATAAGATTATAAGACAAGATAATACTTTATTATCCCAGAGGGAAATTTTTCTTGGCTGTACAGGACCGTAAAAACACATGCACGTTTACATAAAAAATCTAAATTATATATTACTCTCATTAAAATTCAACATGAAAAGAGAAGTAAAGCTGACAAAATGTACATATCACATCAGATGCATCATTCAACTACATGCAGGAATTTGATTACAAGACCTTTGGAGTTATAACTCGTAGATACATACTCTGATAAACTCATAATTAACTGAAGCCGAAACTGGGGAAGATGAAGGCCTGTTGTAGCATGGACAAGGGCACCAACAGACAAACAGAGTAATCTTCAATACACATACAGAAGAGAGAGAGAGAGAGAGAGAGAGAGAGAGAGAGAGAGAGAGAGAGAGAGAGAGAGAGAGAGAGAGAGAGAGAGAGAGACTAAAGAGAAATAATAAAAGAAGAACTCTTTCTTAATTTATTGGTTCACTCTCCAGTGGCTTTAAACATTTCACAATAAAACAAAATAAAACAATTTGGCAGCTTACACAATAGCATGTTTCAAACGTAAGTGTAAAATATCTTGAATTAAGGATTAAAACAGTGGGGCACACCCCCTGTAACCCCTCAGATTTTTTTACATGAAGCTACAGTGAGCACCTAGCACATCTCTGTGATTGGCCCAAATATAGATGACGTATTTCCGCCTTCTATTTTTGTCGTCTTCAGGGGTTTCCCTCCCCAGTAAACCAGATCTCACCAGAGACAATGTGCAAAAACATACACTGTCTCTGATCTCACAGTGGTGGGCCCGCTTTGCATGTGTGTGTGCGCGCGCGCACGCACGCTTGTGTGTGTGTGTGTGTGTGTGTGTGTGTGTTTGTACAACTTTGAGGAGAAGGTAAATTTATGGAACGAGAATTGCGGAAATATGTCATCTATATTTGGACCAATCACAGAGGGGTGCTAGGTGCTCGCTGTAGCTTCATATAATTTTCTTTTACCTCCCCAGGTGGGGCCCCCCTGAAACCCCTAGGTTGGTCCAAAACACGCAAATTACTAAGCGGTTAGACAAAGTGTGATACAGCTCGAATAAGAACAATCAAATATTTCAAATATTCGTGTTCAGCCCATCAATATTTTGTAGAAAATGAACAACTGAGAGTTCAGCGTGAAACGAGAGCTGTAAAAGAATGGACAGTCGAACCTGCCTTAACGGAAACCAGTGTAAAACGGAAACCTGTCTTAATGGAATCTCCCCGATCCCCCCTTGATGAATTCCTCTTTAATTACTGATAAAACGGAAACCTGTCCAACGCGGAAACAGAAAGAAATATCTGCTCCCTTCCGAGGGTTTTACCTAAGACGGAAAATGCTTTGCCCGCTCAGGCCTGATTTGAAACAAAACTCGCAAGTTTGGTTCTGTCCACCAGCTCTAAACTTTTAACATCGTGCCGCCAGGCGAGGAAGGGGAGTAGGGGTGCAATTTGGGGGTAGATGTTACCCCATCTATGTGAGCCCTGAGGGATGAAGACGGTCAGGGTAGTGTGGGTGTGAAATCTCACGAGTGTCAGTGAAAGTGCTCGAGTAGGGAGCCACCAGGGAAACTTTCCTGGGTAGCCATAATTAAGCCAGAGACAGAGGTGTGAAATTAGATTGACCAATTCCAGCTGCCCTGATCATACGGCCAGCCGAGAAAAGAGTTCCTCGAATCATTGTTACATGGCAGTGAGGGGTCACATTGGTTGACTGCTTGTTACACCGATGGGTGGGGCTAAGGGTGGAAGCAAAGGAGATCATGTGCAAACGTTTCTGTTTTTAATAGGTCAAATACCGTCAAACAGTTAAGGAGGTCCTATGAAATGCAAGTACTGGCGGTAATGGGATAAGTAAGACTGACGCATGTCATTATCAGAGAGGATAGTACTTGTTGAGGCGTGTCGTTTTGAATACTGCTTGCTGACTGGGTTGGCCGGGCCTTTGAAACCCCCCTCCATCTCCCCCCCTGAATTCCCCTGTCTAAGACGGAATTTTTTTCTGGCTCCCTTGCGATTCCATCTTACACAGGTTCGACTGTTTACCGAAACGAAGTGGCTAGTCGTACTTAAGTACGGGGAGAGTCTAGCCGTACTTAAGTACGGCTAGACTGCCAGTCTAGCCGTACTTAGATCTAGGTTTGGCCCTTTCGACTCAAGCCTGTTTAGTACACAGGTCTCATTAGATCTAGATCTAGTAATTATTCAGGTTCAAATACATGCAAGTCAGTAAGGCATCTTTTGGTTTTGTCTGAAATACAAATACTTTAGGCATTGCAAACTAAAAATTTCATTTATAATTCAGCCATCAATATTAAGTACGGCTAGACTGCCAGTGTAGCCGTACTTATCTTAAGCCCTATTAATATTAGAAAACAGGAGGTTTAAAATACATGCACTGTCATTAAGGCACCTGGTTTCGTCTCAAATGTAAATACTTTAGGTACTGCACACTAAAAATGTATATTTACAATTCAGTAGGCCTATTTTTTGTAAATGGTCAGTCTAGCTATCATATTATATTTATATTAAGAATAAGTACGGCTAGTACGGCTAGAGCCAGCCGTCATTAAGTACGGCTAGCCTCTTCCTTACCGAAAGGTGAATTACGGGCAATTCCTGGCTGAGAATAAAATAAAATTACTGGAACTGTTACCAAAGAAATAGCTCTAATTTGCACATCACCGACATCCAACTCAAACACATGGGTCATGGCCAGAAATGAGAAAGGAAACTGGGAAACTGAAACAAGACCAAGAAGTCCTAGTTTAGTAAAGTGTGTAAAGTACGTAGCGTAGCTAGATCTATTACTTTTACCATGCTATTCTAAGTACGGCTTCTCCCGCACTCGAGAACACAAAGTCATCGCTGCTGACAGTCCATCGTCTGTTGAACAGCACGAGTCCCGGCATTTTGTCGGCTTGGTGAACACGCAATGGCACAATACTATTCTACGTTGCGAAGAGGAGCCATGTTTGTTATTGATATGATGTGCGAGTGTGTAGTAGGCTTAGCAGTGTGCTGGTGTTGTGTAGGCCTTGCGTGACGCATGGTCATGATTGGCTTCCGGGAGTTTTTCCGGCGTTTGCCGACCAATCGGAAAGAGGATAGGTTTTCGGAAGTGCTTGTAGATCTAGCCTACTTTCGTTTTCGATTCACGATTGATGTTTGTACACATGTGTTTCAATTCCAGACTGAACCAGGCCTTGCGGGACAGACCTGAGGAGTCTGTGCTGTTCGAATAAAGCAAGCGTCTTCTAGGCGATGATGTTCATTCACTTGTTAACACCTTCATGAGGAAAATTAGTAAAGTGAAGGCTATGATGACTGTGTTTATTTATAATCTGAGGATTTTCGTTACACAGACTAGACTGCAGTAGACTGCACAGTTACTTCGACGGCGACAGACTCTTCTTAAAGTTTTGGTAGGGGCCTGTTGTCAGTGAAGTGATAGTGTGTTGACAGCCTTTCGTATTTTAGAAATTAGATAAGTAGTAAAGTAGGCTAAAGTTAATTATGCGACAAATGATAAAGACTAAACTAATAAAGTAGATCTAATATCTAGATCTAGAATCTAGATCTAGAATCTAGATCTATAACACAATAACGATATACAGTAGAAACCTGATATAACAGTATTAACAGGGATGGTGGGGTAAGATTGAAGAATATCGAACCAGCGGACTGACTTTGCCTATCTAGGTCTAGATCTATGTCTCAACCTTAGGAATTCATGATTTTCCCCAGTTTTTAATATCTCTCAATAGAGAATTTCGGACCGGTAGATCGATCTATTCATTAATAATTTGTCTCCCCACCCCAACCACCCGTCCCACCCACCTCACTTTCTCGCGCAATACTGTATGAGTGGTCCGGTATTCTTCAATCTTCCCGATGGTGAGAGTAGAGAAAAAGTCCTGTTATATCCGATCCCTGTTAAATCAGAAATGCAAGGAAAGTAAGCATTTGTGGACTATTCCAGCTTTACTAATTCGTGAGTAGTTTCCCTTGCCACAAGTACCCTCGAACAGGGGTTTTGGCACCAAATTTCTCCTTGCCTCCTTAAACCACTTTAGAAAAGCTCCAGCATCTGCTTCGGGTAGTCTCTTCTTCTTTCGAGCCAGAGAAAAGTTTTCTTTGGAGTTTGCTGCCACTATCTTGTTCTCTCTTTCGTTGATAATGGTGCGAATCGACAACACATTGATGATTGACGACAAATCTCTGCCAGCGGAACTTGCTTTTTGTCAATAGCCTGGATTATTTCATATATTTTTTCCTTTGAAAGGCATTTTCTCTTGCGCTTGACATCGTTGGTGGCCATAATGAAAGAAGTAGGCTTAGATCAAGGCGGACCGGTTGTCCACAAAGTGCGTTAAGCTTAGATCTAGATCTACACATGTACTGTTGTTAGTGAATATTCACAGTGTGATGTGGTGCATGTGTGTCTGCTTTGAACAGCGAAACAAGCTCTGCGCACGACCAGATTTGGCCATGCCACAGGCCAGCGCATGACACATTATATGCGTGTTGCTAGGTTTCGGGCAAGATCGAGGTCTGCAGCACACCGCAGCCCTCTCTCTCTTCACACGCTGTGTGTGCTTGCAGTAGCATGGCTTGCTCGGGCTTCTTCCATCACTGCGTTTTTCTCTCTCTCTCTCTCTCTCTCTCTCTCTCTCTCTCTCTCTCTCTCTCTCTCTACCTCTTACTTTTAACACAAATGTTGTTAACGAGCCTTTGTCCCTGCTATAACCGGTTGGGCTTCGATGAGACCCTGTTATTACCGATAACTTTTAATAGGAAAAAACGGGGATTTAAAAAATCCCTGTTATTACCGGGCCTGTTATATGGTTTCCACTGTACATATTCATCTGTATAATAGTTCTTAAGTACCTCATCCTCATCATGACATATATCCTGCTTCAGCTTCTTTCCCCTCACCCTGCCCTAGGGCGGCCCTTGGTTGGTCAAGGCTAGATCTACTTTATCATAAACTGCTGTCTTCCTCATCTTGGTCAGGTTTCTGTTTATGGGGCGGGGGGTTCGAGAGGGGAGTGCTCTCCCAGCCCTCAGCTACTCTCCCAAATCACACATTAATTTTATGTTATCTATTCAAATATTGACACACCGCTCTTTTCTTGACAGAATACGATTTTTTGAATTTGACACAGCGATAAGGGAAGAGTACGACTTATATGCAGTGTACACTGCCAATTGAATTAAGTTGCTCGGAGCAAAGATCCCCATAACATGAAAAACTTGACCTTTCACCTAGCAAGAAAGATGTTAAGACTGCTATATCATGCAAATGAATTGTTGTGGCAAAGAGTCCGAAAAGGATGGAATCCCAGCAAAATTCTTTAATTGGTTTCAAAACTTTCCATGATATTTACCTGACTCCTGACCATCTGAGAGTTTAGAAAAAGATATCAACAGACCCCAGAGGTGCCTCCTTTTTAACGTCATTTTACTAAAACAGAAGGGGAAAAGTTATGATAAACTTTATTGATCCACGAGAAAAAAACCTGACTACAGAAATTTCCAACCCACAATAATAACTGGAAACATTCTTGCAAACATCCTCCTTTACAAGTTCATGAATGCAGTTGCTGGAAACGTCTTGCCTTATTCTCAGTGTGGCTTCCAATCTGATTTCATCGTTGTAGACATGGCGTAAGGTATTTGCTGCCAAGTCCAGGAGAAGTGCACACAGAGCAATAACAGATGGACATTCGTCATCATCCTTTCTCACCCCATGCGGAATATAGGCCACCAACAAGAGCTCTCCATCTATTTCTATCCTGAGCTATAAGTCTCCGCCTCTGTCCATGTGTAACCCATCTCTTTTTGGTTAAAAAAAAACGGACATTATATCATATTTTTATGTCTGAGTTGGACATATTTGACCTGTCTTCAGAGGAGCACTGTGACTGTTACCATCCTCTGGAGATAAGGCTGTCCTGTCAGTTTAACTATGCTGAGACACCTTTCTCATGACTATATCTTCTTCTTCTCGATCGTATCACACTTGAAGTCTGGTATCTATCATAATATACTGGCCTGTCCTGCTCAGTTCATCTGTTGGCCCCTACAGCTTCTCTTGTACTACATGTCTGGTCAGGACCTCTTCAATGCTGATTACATACACTCTCTCAAAATTTTTTATGGAGTGAAACAGGGTTGTACACTCACCCGTAATGGCGTTCAACTTGTTCTTCACATAGGTTTTACACACTGTCAAAGAACCTGGACAAAGGCACGCTATGCCATCCCACATACAATGGTATTTAGATGACCACTGATTTCAAAGGGCAGATGTTCTTCTGTTGATTGGACTTCATCATGTGCACGCATTCGTTGGACAAAAAATAAGTCAGTCTTGGACAGCTGCATTGTTGTATTCTGTACATTCTCATGAGTGAGGTTGAGGTTTTTTAAAAATAAATGTCTGTAACACAGGATGTCTTTGATTTTTCACAGGGCCAAGAATGGGAGTAACGAAGGTAAACTTTACAAATTTCTTTAATTTGTTGCAAGCGAGAGGATTCGTCATTCAGAGGAACGTCAGTGACAGCGGTAGCAAGCTTGTATTTGACCACGGGCCTCTTGGTGCACTTCTGAGACAAAATATTTTGAAACAGTGGTAAGAAATTTTGACATCACCATCATAACCACATTTTAAACTTGTAAAAAGAAAGTTAACATTATTTTAAAAGAAAGTTAGGCACTCTAAATTAATGTTCATAATTTCAGTGCCTCATGAGAACTTGGATCCAGAAAGAATGTACACATTTAATAGTGCAAGTGGTGTACCATATAGATGCTTATTATTTCAGTGCAGCGTAAGATGTAATCTCTCCAAACATTTTTTAACACCTGTAATGATCCTTCTATTTATAAATTATTATCATCTATCCCAGGAAACTTTCTGTTAAAGTAACTTTGAAGAATTGACAGGAAGTAGATCATGGAGAGTTCCAAATATGTATATGACACCCCCCCCCCCCCCCCCCCCCCTCCGAGTTCTCAAATGTTTCAATGTTTCCCTCGTACTTCATATTGCGCATTGCAGTCTGTCACTGGATGTGAGGCAACCGCCTGCCTTGTAAACTGGAACTCAGTAAGGTGTGTGGCCGGGGGCTAAGATTTGATACAACAAAAATGTTACACTGTATCTCAAACCCAGTCATCCTCTTTTGATTGCATATCAGATCAGATAGCACCCAGAAATCTTATGTTTTAATAATAATAATAATAGATAGCATTTGTATAGCGCATATCCCCGCTCAACAGCAGGCTCTATGCGCTTTACACTATATTATTACCCCAGCAGACCATAGAACACTCCGAAACATTCTCAGCTTCCCGGGAAGCATACAGTGCAAGCAGCTGATTAAGCGCTCAAACACTAACAAACTGACAAGATCTTTCGCTGTCTATAGCCGGGTACCCATTCCCACCTGGGTGAAGTGAGGAAAATTCGTGTAAAGTGCCTTTCCCAAGGACACAACGTCGGGACCCTGACGGGATTCGAACCCACGACCTTACGGTTGCGAGCCCGAGAGCCTAACCACTAGGCCACCGACGTGTTGTGGCTTTTACTTTACTGTTTTGTTCTCAGGTGGGAAGTTCTGGTTCAAAGACACAGCAATGTGTTTCCTATTGAATGTTCACCATTGTCAGACGTATGTGACGACAATATTTCAAGGCATGGTGATCAAGAAAGGTATGTTTGTGGTTCACAAGAGTCGCCTGCTGCATATTTTGTCACCTCTCTTGCTGTCAGAGTAGCTAGCCTGTCCTTTACTGTCACATTAAAGGCGCTGCAGTCGGCTGTGTTCTACTGCATGGCCTCCCTGCGTCACTTTTTCCTATATAGCCTGAGTATTGAAGCCTTCGGTGTGGGCAAGAAATGCTCGTTCACTAGTACATCAAGTCAAGGACCGTCGTTTAGATCCGATACCTAAGAAGGATGTAATTTCCTCCGATACAATGTTCACTCAATGTTCAAACTCAATTAGGAAGAGACAGCTGCAGTTTGTGGACTCGGAATCAACGCAGAGGCCTTAAACATCTTGTTCTCTGTAGCAAATAAGCAGATGAAAGAGGCAGTGTTAGACCACGAACAAATTACTTTAGAATTTAATAGATGGGTGATGGGGAAAAAAGCCAGACTGTCTAATGGCATCCGAACCGAGAAATGATTAAAGAACCATGATTGCCAATGTCTGTCTCAGATCTGGTACTTGATGATGTTGATGTTACTTTACCTGTCATTGATCTTGGTTACAGTGAAAATTTGACTTTAAAAGGACCTGGTAAAATTAATATTGGCAGAATATGTTCTGTTTATGTGTAGGAGATATGGGGTTGACTTGATGTGTTGACAATCTTATAATTAGAAGATGACTGGGCCAACAATACCTTTAATAGTCTCTTTTTGTTCTGTCTGGAACTTTGATTTGATTCAAGAGAAGTGTTCAAAACAACGTGCTCAGAATATATATATATATTCAATGAAAGTGTAGGTGAGTGTTTGTTACTTCAAATTACGGTACAGGTACATTATACATTTTTGTGATATGCCTTGTCAGTTTAAATTCAGGAACTAATGCATTTCTTATATATTTTCTTTATCATCTTTTTTTTTTCAGGTCGTTTACAACACCATCCGTCTCAAGAGAAACTCTGCATGAAGGTGTAAAAATTGAATTCATTTTTATTTTTTTCATTGACTTTTTAATGGGATATGATTTTCTAGCATTGTTCAGAGCACCTTTAGTCTTTACTTTCTAAGTTATAATTTTACACTCTTTTTTGCAAAGAAAGATACTCTGACAACTGTATTGTTTTCAGAATCAGAACGAGCACAATTCATTTTAACAAGAAATGTGTTCAAAAGAATTTGAAATGTTGAAGCTAGATTTGTTTATTGTAAGTGCACATACAGTAGTTGCTTATACTTATTTGCATTTTTAAAGTATGCACACGCTTTTTTCAGGCTTTCAAAAATATGTTAATAGTTGTCAGATATAATATATGTTCAAGTTCAGTTTATTTGTTATTATTAGTGTCGTTACCTTCAAGTATAATGGTGTAGTGTGTTCTTTACGGATAGCATTTACAGCCTTCATCAACACACATGAATCATGTACAGTCAAACTTGCCCTGACGGCCACCTCTATGAGACGGCCACCTGTACAAACGGTCACTTTCCATTTCCCCCCTTGCGTTTTTTCTATATAATTTAACTGTGTAAAACGGGCACCTGTCCAACGCGGCCGCGGCCACCATAATTTAACACACAACCCCTATCATACTAAGCAATAATACCTGTCTAAGACGGTCACCTTAGTGACTCCATTACGTTTTGTTATAAATTGTGCATTGGCCCCTGGCGTTGTGGGCGAGCCGTCATAATTCAATCACCTGTCGTTGTTGTTAGGTAGTCCCTCCAACCGATCATGTTGCGTAGGCCCCTCCCACTGTTGACCAATAGCTACCAATTTTCAGCTGCTGGTGAGGTAAGCGTGTGATCCGTCATAACCCATAAGCCCCGCCCAGAACTCATACACAAATCGTAAGTGAGATGAGTGGTCACTGTTTACCCAGTCTGTAACAAAGTAACAGAGGACGTCAACATGAACTTGTTACAAAAGCGTTGCTCGTTCTCCGACCTATGCGTTTGTTTTAACATGGCACTCAGTCTTCCTTGTCTTATACATTTCATTTTATTGTCACCCTTGTGCAAAATCAGCGACAAAATAAAAATTACAAACGAAATACAAACTAACAACAATAACACCAACAAAGACAACATAATGGGGCTACTTTCGATTGGGGCCTCAGATGGGAATGGTTTGTTTTCTTTATCTTGATCAGTCCTGCCTAAGACGGCCACCTGTCTTATACGGCCACTTTTGTCCTTGACAATGGGTGGCCGTCTTACACAGGTTTGACTGTATACATGTATGTTGAAAAGAGAAACTCTTTTAAGGTTAGCTCCATGTGTTGACTTCTCCTGATATTTTTAAAGCTTCGACACATACCTTTTAATTTTTGAACAGTGAGAAACAGAGGGTTCTACAGAGTAAATCCTCAAAGCCATTTCTCAGAGACCTCGGTGTTTGTTGAGAAATGAGAAAATTGTTCTATTTTTCCCCCCCGTAATGTGTTGTCATTGCCAACTCTAGCTATCATCAATATGTTATGTACCATTGGATTAAACAGTCTATATTGTTTCTTTTTCAGATTGCCTGAGAAACTACCTGCATATTCTAAAACTCACAAATGGTCATCTGCCGTTTTCAATAGCAACAGCAGGATTGTGTGTGTCATGTACGAAAAGAGATTCAACTCCTCAGCAAGATTCTTTGCTTGGGTGGGTTTTCATAGTTTTTCATTTCTCTTTTGTTTTTGTTTTTTGTGCCTCTAGGGCTAGTTAGTAGTGTTGGGTCGGGCTCGCAAAATTAGCGTCTGCGAGTAACGAACTTCTCGTTGGTACTACCCGCAAACGAGCGGACGGGTAACGAACCGTCCTTTTGTGAAGAGTAGTTCGCTACTCGCTACTCGTTACTCATCGGACAGAGACAACAGTTCGCTTAGCGAGCGGGCGGACGGGCGGAGGGAGAGACTCCATGCATTCGAGCCGGCGGACGGACGGACGGGAGCGACTCCTTCCATTGCATACAACTTACAGCCCCCCGCCCACCCAAAAAAAAAAGATTAATTTAAAAAAATCACCCTCCTGCCTCACATTGCAGCTAGGCGTTCATGGCGGAAATTCCCCCCGTACACAGTGTGACCCACACACGAGGTGAAAGGTTACACACATAGTACTACGTCACCAGCCTCTCTCACTCCCTGTGGCACCACTTGTGGTTTGGAACATTAGGCCTAATTAACAAACAATAGACCGTGGGCCTAACCTTGCGTCGAGTATCTCGTCTGCTAGAGTTCGTCCGTGTGCCCGCCCGCCCAGTGAATAAAATTGTGGAGCGGACCCAAAAAACGAACTGGCTTGAGGTCCGCAGTCCACTCGCTGAGAGAGTCAAATTGTGGAGTTGACCCAAAAAACGAACGGTCTTGAGGTTCGTAGTTCGCTCTCATGGCCATCCGTTACCCGTTCGCTCTGACTGAGTCCGCGAGTAACGAACCCGTCCGTCCACTCGCCCCAAATCTACTAGTTAGTTCTTCACTTTCATTAGGGAACGGACCATATTTATGTTTTTCTTGTAATTGTATGTTGTCGGGGTGGAATTTTACATTCACTGGAAATCACAGCTTTTGAAATGCCATCTTGAGAGAATTAGTTCTCCTTATTCATTGCAGTACTTTTATGTTCAGAATTTTATGTGCTTATTGTCATTGATTGTGCTGTGATGTCTGCTAAGTTAGTGTTAATGTTATATGTTTATTGACTTGTATGTTTTGTGTTGAGATGAAGGAGGTTTTAAGTGCAGAGAGCTGTATTACTTGGGAGTGTGCTCTTTAGAAATTATTAGCATTATTATTATTATTATTGTTATTGTTCATTATTGTAGCCATAATATAATGAAAGGCAACCTCAATTTCATAAAATGGCTTCGGAGATAAACTGACATATTATTGCAAGTAAAATAAAGTATGTCAGGCACTCTTGTGCATTATTTATGTAATATGTCTCCCTTGTCATACCAAACGACGGATTTCTAATCGAATGTTTTTCATTGAAACAGATTGATATATCGTGTTCCTATACTCCAAATGATGTTTAAAATATTTTTTAAAAAGCTTATTTATTTTGAAGCCAAATTATTGTCTTTTTTAAGTGACAAAAAAAAGATTTTTTTTTCTCTGACTGTATTATGCACATTTTGTTGAAATTACAATGTTTGTTCTTTCCATTGCTTTTGGCACATTCTGAAACAGAGGTTCAAGTGAAACCAAGCTGTTGTTGCAGAACTATGTAGCACCAACAAGTTCTGGTAGAATTATGGACTACTGGCTGCAGCTGCGTCTTTCCTGGTGGAAAAATGTAAGTAGGCTTACTTACTTACTTCTACTTTTTCATCCTCTGTTGCCGTTAAGCTTTGAGGGGTGATGCTGTTTTCTATGGCCAGCTGTGCAGCTCTTTCAGTTGGGATGTTATAATTTCTCAGGGTTTCCTTGACTCCCTCAATCCATTTTTTGCATGATTCACCTCTTCCTTTATGAATAGCCTGATCACTTGGTGCTAAAGGCTTTTGAGGCTGACAGGCTAGGTGTCATTTGGAACAGGGGGCCAAAGTATAAACAGTATATTGTAAAACTACTTTTTCGCAAGGATTTTTTTTTCTCTGAGAAATAGTTTTTTTTTATTTGTGGACGGATATTTTCCTAGCCTTGGCAAAGAAACTTGGCGGTATAGACGCGCATGGGGAAAAAAATGACGAAAAATAATCTTTTACAGGAATGTGTAGAACACAGTCGCTATTGCATTGTCGAATGGTCACAGTATTGTATAGTACTAGTACTAGTGCCGATGTAAACCCCCCAGAACTACTGATTAAAAATAATCTGGTGTTGATTTCCCAGTATTAGTTGCTTCCCATTGTATTTATTGTAAGACCGGCATGTTAATTCACAATTTTTGTAGAAAGGCAATTTTCGCTGTCTTTGTTCTTGACAGTGAAAAACATGAAAATGTTTTCCTCAAGATGAAAAAATACTCTTTTATAATACAGTAGAACATGACTATAGGGGCACCCGCTACTGCGGGAACTTACCGGGATCCCCGGTTTTTTTTTTCTATGTTAACTCAATTACCTGTGCTCTGGTTTAGTGGGGCAAGGAAAGGCCTGAACTCGGATACAGCGGGAGAGATCCAGCGAGCTCCTGCTGGAAGGAAGGGGGTTGGGGGGCTGTAGGTGGGCTCCAAACAGGCAATCTGCGGTGCGACGTTGCGATTGGCCAGTCCAGTGATGAGTGAGGCGGGGCAGGCGGCAAAGAGAGATGGTGCGGAGAGACGCATTACGTGAGCCACTCTAAAAGTGATGTGCCATAACTTAGATGCTCAGTATGAGAGCGTATAGGCCATAGCCCTTGGCCTAGGCTAAGCCAAAAAGTAAAAGAAGAGGAGAGCATGTAGTGTGTGATTCCTGATTCATTGAATTGCGATCATTGATGCTCAGAGGCATCCACTTCATCAGTTCTACAATAGGCCTACCGGTATGATAGACATCACAAGCAACGAGACCGAGGAAAAGACGACTTCCAACAAAGACGAAAGGAAATACTTCTCTCTCGAATTAAAGGCCGAGATAATCAACGAAGTTTACAATAATAGGAAGGCTAATCTAAAGCGCAAATTTTATTGAATGGAAGGGGGGTAATCATTAATTTTTAGAAAATTTCTGGTAATTCCCCCTTTGCATTCCTATAGCGGGAACTCGCCTACAGCGGGATTTTTCTTCTAGAACCAAAAGTCCCGCTATAGCTGTGTTCTACTGTAGATGTATGTGTCGTCTGTAAGATAGGGAATTTTCTCAATTCATCTGAGCATTTCCAGAGTACAAAAACCCCCCCCATCAACATAAAGAAAGATTTGGGTTCTACATTTATAAGTCGTAGACCTTGAACAGAAATGTGTTATGTTTTTTTATTACTCGTATGTCACTTCATCTTTGTCTCAGCCCAACAGTCACCACATTTGAATTTAAAGCTTTGACTTTTTTGTCAAATACAATTGGTATTATTTATGTGTGATCATGACCTTTCACCTTACGTTTCTTTGTACCATGAAGATGTGAAGTAAAGTATCATGTAAGAAATTTATTTGTAACAGTTTTTCTTCGAAATGTTATACTATTTCAGTTTTCAAGAAATCCCGCAAACTTTACAGTTACCTCCAGATCTCTCAATAACAACAACGCTGGTGGCGACAGTGTTAGTCCCGAAGGAGAAGACAGCAGCGTCAACACCGAACTATCTATTGTTTACGAGTTTCCGTGGGGACAGGAACAAGTAGAAGAAATACGGAATGTAGGGGACTCGCACCTCAGACATTTACAAGATCAAGGGCCAGAAACTTATACGGTACTGGTACTGTTTGTTGTTAATGAATACTGTAGTAAAATTGATTTTGTCAACGGTACCTTAGTCTTCTCTCTCTCTCTCTCTCTCTCTCTCTCTCTCTCTCTCTCTCTCTCTCTCTCTCTCTCTTTGTATCGCTTCCTCCTTTTGTCATTTTTTGTCTATCTCCTTCATCTTGTGCCTTTCTCCACTACTCTGTTTACATCTCTCATTTTATTGATTTAATAATCCCAAAGATAAAATCTAAAGAATCTGTCTTGTCCTCTACCCTAATCACCACTTACTCCCATCTCAGTGCCCCATTTCTTTACACTTTCTATACATTTTGCAATGTCTGCCTGCCATCTTAGCCTCTGTAAAGTATCTAAACCTATCCCCGTCACTTTTAAGACTTGTTTCCTGACTGTTTTGATGAGTCTTTATATCTTTAAAAAACGCAGGGCTGCAGTGGTCAAATGGTTTAGAGATTTAGGCCCTTGAACAATGTGTCAAACTATGATTGGGACTTAACTTGCAGATTGGTGGTCACAGAGGAAATTTTTATGTTTCTGAGAAAGATCACAGGACATGTGATGTGATGTAAATCTACCTGTTAACTTTCTGTATGTTATACTGGCCTGTTTTCGTCCATAGTGAACTGCTGTCATTTCAGCTTGGTAGCTTTTTATGTATGCATGATTTTATTTATGCATGATTTTATTTACATCTATTTGATTTATACGGTTGAAACTGTCTTAAACGGCCACCTACTGTCGAGGAGAAAAGTGGCCGCCTTTCAATGTGTCATTATAATGTAAAAAATACACAAGGGAAGAAATGGAAAGTGGCCATTTGTACAGGTGTCTTATGCAGGTGGCCATTAGGGCAGATTTGACTGTGTATAATTTAATTTAACATATCTTTAGCTTAGAATATATGTGCTATGAACTTTAATGCGGTGTTTTTTCATTAATTTTTTAGGGTAAAACATCTGGAAATAAAGCGTGCCTTCCACACTGCATAGAGTGCAGCACCAGTGTTGAGCTGGCCTCAGCGGCATGGCTGATAGACAGCTATGATGAGCGAAAGCCTATCTCGACCACAAAGAAAGCCCCTAAAAAGAATAAAATGGTAAATTGCGTTTTCGGTGATAAAATTTTCTTCTTGAATTTGTCTTTGAATAATTAATACTTATATACTGGTACCTCTAAAACTCGGGCAGAGGGCGATTTGGATCACCCTGAACATCCTGCCAGACTGACAGGGCTGATTTCCACACCTTTGGGAAAAAGAAATCAATTTCTGTTGCACTTTTTTAATGCAAAAACCTTTCAAATGTAGTGTTGTGATTCTCAGTGACTGAGCAAAGGCTCTCTCTTTCTCTTGCCCTTTTTAATTCCCAGTGGAGCACAGGCCATCAACAGCATTACTCCAGCGAAGCCTGTCCTGAGCATCCTTTTCTATCAGTTCCCATGATGTCCCCGCTTTTTCAATTTCAGCTTGTACCGCTCACCTCCGTGTCATCTTTGGTCTTCCCTTCTTTCGTTTTCCTTGTGGGTTCCACGTTAAAGCCTGCCTGATGATGCTTGACGGGGGTCTCCTCAGGGTGTGTCCAATCCATTTCCATTTCTTCACCTGTATGTCTTCTTTTACTGGCCTTTGGCTTGTTCTCTCCCACAGTTGAGCATTAGTGACTCGATCGTACCACTTGATCCCCACTATCCTTCGTAGGCATCCATTTACGAAGCTCTGCAGTTTAGAGCATAGGCTAATGTGTCCTAAAGAGAAGCCAGAGGCCCTGTGAAGTGGGCAACGTTGTCTTGTCTAAGTGGGATCAGTCTATGATGGCCTGCTTTTGATGAAATAACTGCTTTCAAAGGCTTGGTTGAGTTTGTGTTCAAAGTAATGGTCAGCTAGCTAGCCTGCTGCTTTTGTAGTTTATTGCATAATTTAGATGATGGAATGCAACTCTTTCATCTTTCACTTTCAGTTTCAACAGATCTGTCCAGTTTGGTAGTGTATTTAATTGTATAGGTATGCTCTTTTTTACCTGGAGCAGAGGAATTGTAAATTGTAGAGATTTATTTGCTTTTATTTTGTCTTTGTCCATTAGTTGTCTCCTTTTGTGTCTTGTACAGAAAAACATGTCTATTTTTACTTGTTATAAAAAAAAGGGGGGGGGGGTAGTCTGTGCTGTACCGTAAACTCAAGCATCTTTCAACAGGTTTTACACTTGCATCCGCAAATAGCTCCATATCAAGTGGCTGTCATCAGAGTTTCTTCATCCTCTTCATCAACCTATGCACAAGAGATCCATCATGTATGCACCCATTTAGTGCGAGAACTGCAGTCTGTTGGAATGTCCGTCTTCAATGCCTCAGAACACGGAGGCACTCTAGAGGCACATTTCACAAGGCAAGTCATTTTATTTTATAGCGGCTGTCTTGGGGCTGGAGGGGCATGTGCTGCTGTAAAGTTCTGTAGCGAATTTTTTTTCATATTTCACCTTCTGCTCCATCTGTCATTATCATCAACCCATCTGACTTTTATGTTGTTGATTATTATCTGGTGAAGTGGTAAGCTGGTCAACTGTATTGAGCCCAGAAAGCAATATTTTTCAGGAGACATGACTAAAAAACAGTCAACACGAACCCCAGAAATACAGATGCTGAACGAAAGTGCACTAATTTTAAAAAGAAGGACTCCCTGTAGTTATTAAAACTATTTTTGAGCCAAAGGAACACAAAAGATTGTCCAATATTTATCTTAGAATTGCTGGCAGCCGCGACTCTGCAAGTCAGTGGAAATGGCTCTGTCGGGTTTCCTTGGCAGTTTCCAAGATTTCCAGCAGTTTTTAGAGGTCACATGACCTTGCTGAAAGACCGAGAAATCGTAAAACATTTTCAGGGTATGTTATAGCTTTTTCAAATAGCTTTCCAAGTGTATGTAGTTTCCTGGTCTTTGTATTTATCATATTATGTTCTCATTTCTTATGTCTAAAGGTGCACCCTTGTTCTTAAGACTTTCCCCTGACACAGTGCAAGTTTTCCAAGGACAGTAATGGGGTTAATCTACCTCTGTACAGTCCACTCCACTTGTAGCGAAGTCGGTTGTAAAGATTTTCGGATGTAGCGATCTTTTTCCGTGGAACGGGCTCCGATGTAAACTCAGTATAATTGAAACAGTTTTACCGAATTCACTACATCCGTCGTGACAACTGTAGTTATGCGTATTCTTATCCCCGGCCCATATAGTTAATAGTGAAAATATAACTATTTTAACGATGTTTCTCCCTTGGTTAGTTTTAACCTAGCATTGATGAACCCGATGATGTTTTGTAACGTTACACACATTCACACAATAGTACGAGACATCAATCTCCCAATACTATTGATAACCTTATATGATAAACGCCGAAGCGAACACCATGCTGCCTCTCTCTCACTTCACCTAGCGCCATGAGGAACAACTACAGTGGACTTATTTCCCTTGAATTTTTCTTCCAACGACTGTTGCGGACTTCGGATGTATCAATCTTTTTTCTGGTCCCCCAACGACATCACTACAAGCGTAGTTGACTATAGTTGAGCACAGATAATGCAACACCAAAAAATCAGATTTACGGATAACTCATACAATTTGCCATTCCTCAACTGAACCACTGTTTTCTTTATTAGTAGCATGGTGCTCTCGAACATGCGCATGGATGTGTCCGACAACTCATCTCGAAAACCTGATCAAATTTTTCCTCACTCTTGTCTTGGATTGAAATTGCAATGAGCTCATCAGGCCCATCTTCAGCACAGTATGATACACACAAATCGGGTACAGTGAAAATTTGAAGTTATATCACATCAGTTTACTCAAATTACAGGTGTGTCGAACACACTTGTCAGTCCCTCCCTGAGATGTTGGAGATTTTGTGCTCAACTACTCGACTGTGGTCCAAAGTCTAATACGAGGTGCCCACTACGGCTGGATGGGGCTGATCGCCTGAAACTGAAAACAGTTTGTTTTTGAGACGATCGAGTCGAGCGATCGGCCCAATCGGCCGATCCCATCCGTAGTGGGCACCCCGTATAAGATGTGTGTGTGTGTATATATAAAAGATCTTGAATCTGAGCAAAAACTTTGGAAAAATAGGCATAAAGGCAATAAAATCTTTGGACGTTTGTAGTGTCAATAGCACACTATGACATCTTTGAATATATGAACGTTTCTAGAATTTTGACATTATATTTTTAAAAATTTTCAAGGAGCTGTCCAAGTCAAAGAAGCAAATTCAAACCCTTCTGGATTGAGCACAAGATTGAACTAGCCAGCTCTTTGGCTTTTATACATGATAATGCGCAAAGAAAGGGTGTGTGAAATTATATTGAACATAATTTTTATTACACTGGTGAGTTTTAGAAATAATGTATGTTCTCATCATTTTTTTTCTTCACAGAAATGATCAAATAGGAATACCGTACACTGTTATACTCAATGAAAATACATTACGAGATGGAAGTGTGAACATCAGAAGCAGAGACACGGAAATTAGGGTACGGTAACTTGAGCTTTATTATGTTTGAAATTGTTTATATCCTACATGTGTCTGTGTTCTTCTTTTCTTTACTTTTATCAAATCTTCTAATGCACATTTGTATGATGTGGTGTCGTGACCAAGTGTTTCCTCTGCCTTCAAGTACAAGTACAATGCAAAAAGCACCAAAGACATTAAAATTAAGGAACTTCTTAATGGGTTTACTGACCTGGTCAACCCCCCCCCCCCAAAAAAAAAAGTCAAAACATTATTCCTTAATTTTTAGGTCTTTGGTGCTTTTTCAACTTTTTGCATTGAGTTTTTTTGTTGTTTTTTTTGGTAAGAGTTTTTCAGAATTTGCAACACAATAAATGCTGAAGATTTTTTTAATGTTACTAGTAGCGTACTAGAGTAACACAAAAAAAGAAAGATGTAAAGAAGATAGAAAGAAGACTACTACTTTGACTTACTTTTAAAAATTTCAAATGAAAGAGTATTAAAGAGCAGAGCGTCAGTTTTATACAATGACGGTCATTTAAGGCAGAGTAAAGGAAAGTCAAACGAGCTGAAACTGCAGGGGAACAGAAGAGAAGTACTAAAGTAGGGTTTACCAAGGGTGCCCTCCAACGACAGCAATACTTTGTAGTTATACATTTTGTGGTACTCTCGAGAAAGTACAGTGCCTTTGTGATGAATTACATGATTACCTGGTACAGACTATTTGCTTAACCCTTTATTACTCAGTCAGGTGGTGATTAGATCACCCTCAGGTCAGCTGCCAGACTGACTGACTACAGAGTCAATATTTGCACCCTCATGAAATTCCTATTTTGTTGCACTTTATGTGCACATTTTCTGGAATGTCAAAAAAATGTCCGATAGGTGGTTGGTGGGTGCTCTGGTGAGGTTTGCTCCTTCTTTCCTTTCAAACGTCTATCATCCTTTTCTCACCCTCTTCTTTTTTATGTTTGTCACTCTCTTGTAACACCTCTAATCTTCTGGCGCTCGTATGACCTTATGCAGTTGCGAGCGCCGTAAAACCTCTACTTTTTTTTTAAATGTCCAGAAAATCCTGCACATTCCCTGTGACTGGGCTAGGGTTAATTATTAATCTCTAATTTTAATTCTATTTATTACAGACAACATCTCATATTGCCCAAGTTGCAAGCCAGATGGAACAGAATCTCATGGCACAACTGGACTAGTCTGGTGCTGGCCCAAGAAATCAAGTCTGACAAAGTAGAATGGAAACTTACTTGGAGAAAGACTTTAGATTAAATAGAATTTATAACGTTAACCAAAAGCAAATTTTTTGTACTTTGATAACAACTGGCTCACTCTAAGATGAGTCAGTTTGAATCTAAGTCTAAGTCAAGTATCTTTTTACTAATTACTTTTTAGTTTTAGTTTTAGGGGCTTTTTTTCCCTTGTGTTGTTTTACTCACACAGAAGATTTAATGTATTCATTTGAATAACATGAGCTTTAGGAGGTGGGCTTTAGAGTAGACCCTATTTGATGATTCCCAATCCAGTTATTGTTAGCCCAACCAAGTGTTCTATTACTTTTATATGAAATAAAGCATATGACCAAAAATATTCCGTAGAGGTTTTTTTGTGTGCCAAAAGGTGCAGGACTTCCTACTTGTGTTTTATGTGTTGTAAAATTTACTTATAATGACCTTATCCAAAAGAACCACCTGTCTAAGAGGACTATTTTTCTCTTCGACAATGGGTGGTCATCCTGGACAGGATTGGCTGTACATTTTTATCTATAATTTTATTATAATTATGTTTTGTTTTAACGAGTACATGTTTCTATTCCTTTCCTCGTTGTCTCCAACTTTACGTTTCCAAGTTTTGCCTCTGGAAGTAACAAATCTATAGGGGGAAAGATGGGACAGCAATGTATGATTGGGGCATCCATGGTATGTTGCAGAGCTGTCTGTTGATGTGAAATTTCCTCACTGACTTCCATGTCATCATAATCAATGCACTCCCTTTGTGTATGATGTGGGTGGTTGGCGGGTGGTCTGCTTCCTCTTTCCTATCAAACATCTCTATCGTCTTTATCTCCCCTCCTGCTTTTTTGTGTTTGTAACTCCCTTGTATTGTAACACTTCTAATCTTCGGCACTTAAATGACCTTATTGTGTTGGAAGTGCCGTAAAACTCTTACGAAAAAAATATTAAATTTGTGTATAAAATGCCATAAAGCAGCTTTAAAATAATGAGAGAGGGTTCTCGTGGTCTCGAGGTAGTCTCAGGTAGTGTTCGCTTCTCATTCAATAGGGCCCGGGTTCAAATCCAGACAGGGACGGAAAATTTTCTTTTCTAAAAGATTGTTCTTTTACCTCCTTTCCTGCTCTCTAATTATGTGCTGTTGTCTGCTTTCATCAGAATCACCACTTCTGCCCCCCACCCCTTCGCTCCCCGTTGCCCCCTCCTCTGGGCTCCTGAATCTTTCTGCTGCCTTTCTACTGCTAGTCTTTGTGAGTTATGAAGTTTGACTGTAAGTGTAAGCCCATGTGTCCACCAAAGCAGAAAGGGCTCGTCCAAAAGTCATTTGTGTCTCAGAAAGTTGGTACTTGAAAAGGAAGTCCAGTTTTTAACTTTAATCGTAGCTTTTTCTCCAACGGGGGTAAATACTAAAAATACTATGCCCAGGCCCTTTTTTGGTACAACATCTAAATATGTGACATATTGGTCATTACATCAAAACCAGAGAACCTGTTTTGATAGTAAATAAATGAATGAACTGGTAAAAGGCCTGTTTTCAGCAATTGTCGAAAGGTAATTTGACATCGAAGTCATTGTAATTGTAATGTAAAGAAGGTGCCAGAGCAGTTTCCAGCAGCTCACCGGCACAGCGGTTCCAACTGCGAGTCACTGGGAGTGACTTGCTGGAGATAAGAAGTTAAGTTATCAGTTTGTGGTGAGAATTCTGTTGGGATGCGTCTACTAAAACAACGCAACTGCTCCCTACAAAATACAGGTCGATTGAAATGCCGTGTGCTGTATTTTTCGTTGGGTTGTGTGGTGACTCATCAGCCAGACAGGCAGAGCTCACTAAAAAGGGGGCTCTCGTGGCCTAGAGGTTAAGGTGTTGGCCTCTCATTCAAAGGTCTCGGGTTCGAATCAGGGTAGCGACCGAAAAATTTTCTTCTCTAAAATTGTCTCCTTTCACATCCTTTCCTGCTCTCTAGCAATGTTCTGTTGTCTGCTTTCATTTCCACTTTCTGCCCCCGCCCCCTCACCTCCTTTGCCCCCTTCTCTGGGCTCCCGACTCTTTCTGCAGCCTTTCTACTGCTACTCCTTAGCTCCTCCTTACTGCTGTCTTTCTGCCACACCCCTGATCTTCTGGTAGGAAAGATCTACACCTAGCCTTCTCGGACAAGGGCGAAAAATCTCGGAGGGCTCGTGTGCAAGTTGCGCACGTTAAAGATCCCTTGGTGGTCTAAAATCGATAAGAGTAGGCTTCGGCCGATAAGAGTAGGCTTCGGCCGCTACCCGGGCAAAATTCAAAAACTTCCTACCAACAGAAAATATTAGGTGTGTCCCGCGCGCTCATATGACGTATGCAGTTGCGAGCGCCGTAAAACACTTTACAAAAAAAAAAAAAAAAATAACTAAAAAGAATTTCTAATCTCAAGTTCGGATGAAAAATCTAATGTCATTTTATAATCATATTCATGATGAACACCTCAACATTAGCAGTCTAGAACAATTTTACAACCCCCCAAAAAAAACAATTCAAGGTTTAATATTTCTACCTTGCATTCCCCTTTGACCTGTTCAAGCATGCCAGAGACAAAAAAACCAAATTGTTTCCTACTGACAAAAAAAATTGGTACATTTAGGGGCTTTTTTTCCCTTGTGTTGTTTTACTCACACAGAAGATTTAATGTCTTCATTTGAATAACATGAGCTTTAGGTGGGCTTTACAGCGTGTTTTACAGCGCATGCAACTTCATTTGGTCATATGAGACGTGGGACACATTAGAATTAGACATTTTCAGTTTGGTAGGAATAAATTTTGAATTTACTCGTGTGGGGGCTGAAGCCCACGATATCAATTTTGGACCAAGGTATCTTTAACTTGCGCAACTTGCACACGGGATCTCCGAGGTTTTTCGCCCTTATCCAGAAGGCAAGGTATTGCTTAGATCTACCTACCGTAATATCAGGGCTGTGGTTACTGAAAGACAGCAGTAAGGAGCCAAGGAGTAGCAATAGAAAAGCTGCATAAAGAGTAAGGAGCCCAAAGGAGAGGGCAAAGGAATTGAGGGGGTGGGGTCAGAAAGTGGAGACGAAAGCAGACGACAGAACATTATTATTAGAGAGTAGGAAAGGAGGTGTAAGGAGAAAATTTTCCGTTGCTGTCCAGATTGGAGCCCGGGACCTATTTAATGAGAGGAACACCGTAACCTCGAGACCACGAAAGCACCCCTTGGAGGATTTAATGCGGCTTATTAGCAATATATATATATAAGTTGTTTAAGCAGGACCTCTGAATTTAACGTCTTCTCCGATGGGACCAAGGTTGAGAGCCTTGAAAACTCCACAAAATGACCCGAGTTCATGAACGCCAGTCTGGGATTCGAACCAGGGCCATTTGCCCCGTAGTCCAGCATGATACAAAGTGAGCTAACAGTACTAACAACTAAAAGAGAAACACCTCTAATCTTCTGGCGCTCATATGACCATGCAGTTGCGAGCTCCGTAAAACCTCTAATAAAAAAAAAAGAGTGTGTTGTCAATGTTAGGTCTCGGAGGGAGAAGTGTAGCTCGAGTCCGAGTCTGATGTCATGTTTTTAGGGCTGTGCAGTGAAACAGGTGATAATCCACAGTCTCATCATATGCATAGAATTGGTAACCATTGCACTTTTTACACCACAGACTCCAGGATATTTTCAGTGAGCAATAAAATCTCGTCCATAACTAACGGCAAAGCAAACCATCACCCCTGACCTACGTCCCAGTCCCAGTTCCTCCAGCTGACTCCAACTCCAAGCATTTCTTCAATAGGCAATACTAAAATCATTATTGCTTCACACTCACAGCACGCGTGCTCACAGGACCTTGTACTTGTACACAGTTGCAAGCACGGCAAAGTCAGTGACTCGCCTTTCCATTTTCCCCAGCAAGTGGCTGTAAACAAGCCGTAAAAAGTTAAAAGGATGCAACAACAAAGTTAGCGCTTGTGTGTAGCGTGTGCCTCGCGCTGTTCGGTCTTTGGTACCGTGACTCCAACCCCCCTCTGCCTCTTGTTAATTTCACTGTGTGTAAGAATCAAGGGAAGCTACCAGCTTAAAAAAGTAGTGCTGTCTTTTTACCGCTGACTTCCCGTTGTTTTTTCCTCTTTGACTTTATATTTCATATAAATTATTGACATCAAATCCACGTCCCAGAGCATGTCGATATAACTTAAGCGGATTATGCTGTATCTTATGATTGATTGTGAATGTTTGAATGCAAACATTGCACAGTTGAACATTTTAATTGAGTGAAATTATTTCTGTTGAACTTTGTGCTGCCAAGTCCCTGTATGTATTCTTACTGTGACATCGACAAAGCACAGAGTCAAGTCAGTCTCGGTAAAATCGTGCCGTAAAAAGCCTCCGAAAGCAAGCAATGGTCTCCGATTCAAGTTCAGTGTGTGAACATTTTTTAAAAGTATTTTTAGATAGGGAAATGATTAACTTAAGAAATGAAATTGTTTCTGAAAATTTGTTTACTACAGAAGAAAATTAACTCGACATCTACTTACAATGTGACAATGTCACTGAAGTCTTAAATGCACAATGCTTATAATCAATACACAACCATGATCCTTAGAAGCATACTATTTAACTTTAGCTCAACACAACAGCACTGTGTGAAGTGACAGATGTTGAAATACAATTTTTCTAGCTAAATGGTTACCATAAACTTATGGTTCAATGTGAAATATTGAGAAACTATTTTTCATATTGAGCAGTTTTTCTTCAGAACTTCAGAAAGTCAATAAATTCACAAATGAATTTACCATAGTTCTAAACGCTTTATACTTTTAACTCAATCTGATTGTAGTGTAGATTACAGCAACTTTTTTATTACTGGCATGAAATGAATAGGATACATTCCAGCTCGCTAAGCCACACAAATACATTCAAACCTTAACTTTAGCGGCCACTTGTTCAAGATATTCCCCTGAACCAAACCATCCCCCCCCCTTTCCCCTAGAATTTTTTTCTGTTTTATAATATAATGACAGTGTTCAAGACATCTCTATCAGTCTAACTTTAAGACAACCACTTTTCTCTTCAACAGTAAATCGGCATCTTGGGCAATTTCAACTGTAATTGTATACATGCAGCACTAAAACTGAAATGTGTGGCACAGTGACGCATCTGGAGATTCTTTGTGCGATTGTACTAAAATATGCCCAAATAATTTTCTTACGGAATATTAAAAACAAAATTTCACAAACAATTTAATTAGCAACTCAATTCACTAAATGAAATAAAACACTTTTAACTGAAAAGTCCACAATAGGACAACCTGAAATGGCTGTTCAGACCAGAGTGCAATATTGCTATTTTCATCTCTGAAGGAAAGGGAACCACTTTAAAAAAAAAAAAATAAGAGGAAGCAAACACCCTCACTTCTAGGTCCTCCGCATTTTTTTCCTCTCCATTGTGCGCGGAGGAAGCAAAATTTTTCGCAAGACAAACATGCTACTTTTGGAACAATCACTCTTGGTCTTAATCTAGTTTTAATCAATAACCACATGTTCATCAGCTCCCAGCACCATCGCAGCTTTAATGAGTACCACCGTTCAATCTTGCGTAGAGCGAAAAAACTTTTTTCTTCATTTAATATTTTGACATCACTGATCCATTTGGAAAAAGATAAACCAGATTGTAGACATATTCACTTTTATTTTACATGAACAAGACAAAAGTTGCACTGTGTTCTTTCAGTAAAAGACTGCTTCCAATATTTTCACAAAAGCGTGGTCCTGTTGTCCCCCAATCACACATAAAGTTATCACACCTTTTACCAAAAAAAAAGCCAACAAATACCTCAATGACCCTCACCTAAATCACTAGGTGATGCTTAAAAAAGCCCTTTAAATGCAACGTAATCGTTAGTGCGGCAAAAATAAGGTAAAAATAAATTCTGAGAAAAGTGAGAAAAGGGGAAGAGGAGCGGAGCAGCACACTATGATAAAGCTTGTAGTTCTTTCACAGAAAGTTATTGCATGCATCTATCAACCATCACCAAAGAATTTCCCAGGAAGCAGAGGAAGTCAATCTAATAAAGTTTCATCAGTCTCAGTTCATGCTGTTAACATGCAGAACTTTGCTTTGCGTTTGACGATTTTGGCTTGATTGACTTACACACGAGTTTAAAAGTTTAGCGTGAGAAATTTCAAACAAAAACCAAAGTGTCATAAATCTTTGTTAAAGGAAGTAAAATTTACAATTCACTTGATCCAGTCACTGATTCACAAATCCAGGCAGACACATGAATGACCGCAATGTCAGCACAAGACATGAGACGGTATTCACAAAGTGTTTGCTGGCAACTTCTGCTCCACTCCAGCCTCACTTCGTCAAGAAGTCGTCAATGATTACAACGAACCCACCTTGCTTGCATAGCGAACCGGAGTTACATAATGCACACAAGACTCCGTGTTAATCAAGACCTTTTTGCAATACGAGAGCATGCACGTGCTGTTAGCAAGTCATCTCTTTTAATAAGATTTTGCCTGTGCTCTGATCTGTTATCACAGCGAACAGAGTGAGAACAAACTGACAATGTCATCAAGTGTTTCATCGGTAATCCGATTATACTTATACTGCATTTCTTTGGTTCCGTTTAGCAATGTACAAAGGAAGCGGAAATACAAGACCCTGCCATTATAAAGTTTGAGATGATTGACTTATGCTTCTGATGAAAAGAAAAAAACAACTTTTATGGTCCCAGGTTACTGATGCTATAAAAGAAAAATGTATTCTTTTTAAAAATTGAGCATTTATCATGCTTAATATCAGGTTTTAGGCTTGTGACTGTCCATTAATTTCCCAATGAATTAACTTTCCCGAGTACAACAACTAAAATTTAAAGGGAGTTCATACTTTGCATAGACTAGGATTCACATTTGTTCTTTTGTTCCACAGTTAGCTATTACAATCTTTGTCACAGAAACCAAAATGTTTTTACATTTCTGGTTTGCAGCCCTTGCACACGGTATTTCTCAGTTAGGCGATAAAATGATGCAGACCCAAAGGACCTTGACTGTGCACTGAATGAAATTAAATTACTTAAAAATAGATACTGATGATTCAAAGTCCTACACCATTACCAAATCAAAGCTGTTAGGTCCGCTTACTAAAGGTGGGTTGGGTTGGGTTGTTTTTTTTTCAAATCAGTAAATGAAAACTATTCTTTGTCTTTAAATATTGAATGGTTTAATCATACATTATTTGCAAATAACAATTTCTGTATCAAACATCTATCCTCACGAGTATGATGATAAAACCTCAGTTGCAGATGATCAGCCATATAATGAACACAAGCAGTCTTTCCATACTCACACACGCATGCACGATGCACTTGTTCAGTTAAATGACATTTGCCTAACAATGACACAACTTTTTCTCATGCACACTCTCACTATGTACAGTAGGCGTACAAAGACCTGTATTTTTAAAAGGACTGTTTTAGCACTCTGTGTTGACAGGGAAGGGACTGATGCACTAAAAGATAAATGCCCCAACTTAGAAGGGCCAAGTAATAGTATCAATGTCAGCATCCTCCATTCCTGTGTATAAGTCTTTTGAACGTGCAATTCGAGTGTCCATGCCCTAAATTTTTCATTGCACTCTTCATCCAGAAGAGCTCAATGATAATTCTGGCAATGAGATTGTAAAAATAAAATAAAATGCACCAGAACCATGATGAAAGGGCCTCCGAACAAAAATGCGGGAAAAAAAAACAGCAGTAAAATGGATAAGAAGAGTTGGGGGGGGGGGGGGGGGGGGGGGGAATTGAAGATGAGACTACAACTCACAACTGTTGTCAAAACTCATATTTTAAAAAGTGTTAGAAACTAGTGTACAGCCAAACATAGAAAAAAAGAATGTTAATGATAAAGTACTGATAGCCCTAGTCAATGAACCTGTACAGTATGAAATTTTAATAAATGCGAAAAGAACTAATGCAAACTCACACCGTAAACAAAATGAATTAACCCTACAAAAGAGAACAGACACTGAAAATTAATCCAGACACAAAAAACATTTAAAAAGAAGAAAAAAGTACTTTAAAATCCCACGACAAACGAACAATGATCTTGCAATGCACACGGTAGTCATATTTCCAGATTTCCATGTTTATGACAGGCAAGTTACGGTCAGTATTGTTCAGTGAAAAGTCATCCAGACATGTCCACCGACTGACTTCATTAATTTCCAAGTAAGACCCAGTTTTTAAGAGTGCCGTACCCCAAACACACGAGCTCCCCGAAATTAAAAGTTGAAAAAAATAATGTACAAACAACACTCCCCATTATCATTCACTGAATCTCAAGTTAAAAAGTCTCACCATGCAAACAGTGCATTCTCTGCTTTCTGAATTCATATCCAAGAAAACACCTGGCACACAACAATGACCTCAGATGGAGGAGAAGCAAATCAATGAGAAGTCACTAAAAAAAAAAAGAGCAAGCATTCTACGTCAGTTTTACAAAGCAACATGCCACACAAAAGGAACTGCATTTCTCAGACATTAAGACTAGTTTTTTAAAATAAAACAATTTCTTGCCGATCTAAGCGAGTTCCATGGAGACAAATCAATCAATAAAACATTGCCTCACAAACATAACTCAAAATGTTTTCATGCCCCAAAAGTAACATACTTTTCAAAATAACAATTAAAGAAACTGCTGATATGTAAACATGACCTTTATTTCTAACAGTGCCACTATTTCAAAAACCTTGGAGCATGTTGCTTTTGTCACAATCTGAATTTAAAATAAGTACAGCTACATTATGAGAGAAAATACATTCAAAACCTCCCATACAAGCAAACAGTTTTCCTCGTCTCCAAAATTTTAAATGACACGTGATGAAGAAATGTAATAAAGAAGAGAGGACAGAAGAAACATATATATATATCATGATTAAATCCAAACAGAACAAACAAACAAATGAACAAAAACAAATACAACCATACTGCTAGAAGACAATTGTCAGACTGTAACATTATCTGAAACAACTGACAATTTCCAATAATACAACATGCAATGCCGATAGCGCAGCAGATGATAAAACTTCTATTTACCTCATTCAAACGTTGACAGCGCTTGGCATTTAATGAAAACTTTTTTTATGACTAAAAAATAAGGGTTTTGCAAAGAACATTTTTTCAAATCCAAATAAAGACAACACCCATGATCTTCGCGTGTTGGCAACCAAACTTGTCTGCACATTTGGTGGAGCGAATGGCAGCAGATTCATACCTCTAGACGACTTCTATGCCGGTAAGCTGAGCTTCTTTCCTTTCAAAACTGGAGGGAAAAAAATCCAAACAATAGCAATAAGATCAGTGATTAAGTAAAGACAAATTGTAAAAGGCAGTATTGAGTTCTCGCTCTGCAGAAAAGTAAAGAAATAAATATATATAAAACCTGATAGGACTTAACTCATGTAAATACAATTTCAAATAATATGAAGAAGCAGAAAAACCTGATTGTCTCATAGCTAAAGGAATCTTAAAATAGCAACATTGCTTTTAACTTTCCTGTTGAAAATAACTTCTCTCTAAGAGCACAAACATATTGTATAAACAAATACAGTCTAGCACTCACACAACAAAATCTGCAGGTATGTGGAAATATTTTTGTTATATGTGCGAATTTCTCATCATGTATGAATTTCAGGTTATACTTACAGGTTTACACAGCTGGACAACTGGGTCAAAATTTTTAATGAATTATGCCTACTATGCCCCAACAATATGTTTGTTGGGTTCATTGTCATTCAGATTTGCCAGATTTTGGTTATTGACATTGATTGCTTCATTAATGTCAGCCATTTTTCTTTGGCTGGGAAGCTTTTCCTCATTTATCCACAAAAAAAACAAGAAGCCTTTCTGCTTCTTTTGATCCCCCGTGATCTGCTGTCTACAACAACTTCCCCGAGACCTCACTTTGCCAAACGCCGGCAAGCTGTTGTATAGTGTGTACTTTCTGTCTAAGAGAAAACCCTTGACATATGTGGTGACTATCGGATACATGCCTTCACAGGACTGCATACTTCCCACACACAACTAAGGTGTGCAGTCTAGATCTACTGTTGAACTTTTCTGAGACACATTAAGCAATAAATATGTGCTTGGTTTACACTACTTCCCTTTGCTTCTAGAGAAGTCATTGGCCTACCCTCAAACCATGCTTGCCATCTCTCTTTCATCATGGTTACTTCAGTAAACAAAATTTTCAGTAGTACTGTTTTCTTAGATCTGACCTCGTCAACACAATTTTTTAATGCAATGTATGAATTGTTTGTGCTATGTGTATGTTAACAATACAAAGAATATATTTAAGAAATCATTCAAGACCGGAAAATCTGTTCTCAATGAGCATTGTTTCGCTATGTGCCTGATCTTTATCAGGGCTGCCAACCCATCTCCATGGTTTTTAGTAATGACCATGAAGAAAATTAGTAATTTCCCATAAAAAATAGTAATAGTGCTCTCATTTTCAAATAACTATATATTACAACGAACAAAAATAAGTCTTAATTACAGAAAAATAGGGTTTATCGAAAATTAAATAAATGTGAAGGCTAAAGTTTTGCTTTAAACTGACGCCGCATGTCAGCTGATTGATAAAATCTATTTTTAGACTGTTTGGGTCTCAGCAGCGTGGCAGCGATGCTTCTATGTTTCTACTCATGTACGGTATTTTTGTGGGCAAGGCTAACTCACGCGAAGTGGGCCAGCTGTTCCTTTTTTTTTTAGGGGGGCGGGAGGTTGATTTAGAGATTGGCGGTTTTCCGACAATTGGCAGACGATTTACATGTCTGCACTAAGACTTGTAAAATATAAAAAAGGGCCAAAAGTATTTCTTTATAGCCAAAAATCTGCTGATGGTAAAAATCGTAATAAATCGCCTTACGATCGAAATTTCGTAGTGAGGCTAAAAAATCGTAATGATTACAAAAAAATCGGAATGGTTGGCAGCCCTGCTTTATGTGTGTGCTAGACTGTAGCTCTAAAAAAAACCTTTAAAAAACAAAGGTGACACCTTGGAAAATCGCTCTTTGATCTTATTCTTGTAAACCCATGCCTCAGTACAACCTTCAATTCATCACTTCTAATTCTACATCAAATATAAATTGACTTGTTTACAAAAATGGTTAAATTTCACAAAAGTCTATCATCTTTTATAACTGTGACCCGAACCAAGAATGCATGCTTCCCAAAAGTAAGTGCTACAAATAAAGAGGACTTTGGTTAGTAACAGCATAGCTTTTTAGTTGCTGATATATTTTTTCAACTATGAGATTTAACTGAGAGGGGGATTCTCATGACAGGACTACAGGAGGAAAACAAAACTTTTTAAATTAACCATGCAACGTTTAAACTGGAACCAAACAACCGTTTGCCCCTCTTCACTTCTCTTCATATTTTTACATAAATAAGCCTTGTGATCACGATGCACTTCCAAAGGAAAGAAAGGATAAGAAACTAGGCAAAATTTGAATTAAAAAAGCCAGGGGTGAGGAACAGCGGTGGAAAAACAAAGTTAAATACTGAGGTAACCACTCTACCATCACCAAGCTTGTCACTTTACTTACGCCAATTCCTCCGGGCTTTTAAAACCTGAGCAAAGATTCAGGGTCACAGTTTATATTTTACTTAGTGCCCAAAGCTAAATGAGGCATGGGTTTACTTTACTAAACTGACACTAACAATCGCATAAAGACTAGACAGATAAAAAAGATTTCAAAGTAAAAAATATATATACAAACCCATGCCAAAAAACAATTCCAAACTTCAGATACATTTTACAGCAACAAAACCACGACTCATAGTTATACAGGGATGCCACTCAACTTTTTTTTAAATAGCTGAAAATCCATGCGCCACAGTCTCGCTAACATATATAATATGAATATCAATTTGAAACCCAAACGGTGTACATAGAGAAAAATGGCAAACAAATCTTCTGCGTTTTTTTTCTCCCTATTATTTGAACTTACGGCAAAGTCTTTGTTTTTCCGTTATTTGAACATTTGGCGCAAGTTGTTGTGTGTGTGGGTTCCCCCCCCCCCCCCCCCCAACTATAGAATCTATCTCAATCTCAATAACTGAATAGCGGACCAGGATCAAAATACCGGAAAAAAGCGGAAAAGTGGCATCCCTGGTCATAGCATCTGAGATAAATGAGGTATACATGCAGTCCAAAAAAAACGACCAGAAAGGAGATGTCCACTTCCCAGGAACATTGAAACACCACTGTCAATGTTAGCTGACCATTACATCCCATAAAAACCTAAATGTTTTTTCTTGTAGTAGGCAAAAAGTACTTTGTTCCCTTCATTAATTGTGATTATATTGTGTTTCTTTTCCCTTTTCATTCAGTCCTGTGCTTATTCAATTAACATGAATAGTATCAGTTTATATGAAAAACCTGAATGTTTCCTCTCTGTTACTGTTCCGTCTTTATGCGATTCTCATCAAGATATCAAAATATGAATATATATATATATATATGTTCAACATAAAATTTATGGAATATGTTCAATGTTCATTATGTGCGTGCCTGGTAGAGGGTCAATGAAATAAAGCAATACACAAAAGCTTTCTATACAAGAAAAAACACACTGGAAAATGCAGAAGAGATATCTCTGCATACTAAAAGCAAAAATAAAGCCAAGTGAGCAGTAGTATAATATGCATGTCTCTCGAGTACTGCAATGGCTATGACCGTCAAAAACTTTTGCAACTGAAGAGAGACAAGACATTCATCTTATACAAATGATATACAGATACAATAAAGAAATGATAACATAACATGCAAAACAACATGGGGGAGGTGTTCTGTGTCTTTTAATCTATCAGTCGCAACCAAAGCAGTGAAACATTACAAGATTACAATTACAGTCGAAACTGCTCTAATGGCTACCAGTCGTAGACAATCAAATATACAAATGACTACTTCCCACTTCCCCTCTTGTGTTTTTATATAAATGAAAATAGTGGGAATATAAAATCAAAATACAGTCGATAAAGTCTTCTACAATACATCTATCTAAGATAAAAACCTGCTCAACAAGGAAAGAGAAAATTCTTTCCCTTCGGTTGGGGGTTTGACCCTTCGAAGAAGAAAAGTGTTTTGCCCACTCAACCCTTATCTGAAATAAAACTCCCCAGTTTGGTTCCATTAGCTCCAACATTTAATGCCATGCAGCCAGGCGAGGAAAGGGGTAAGGGGTGCGGTTTAGGTGTAGCTGTTACCCCATCCATGTGAGCACTAAACAGTGCAGATGGTCAGGATGGTGTGGGTCTGAAATCTCACCACTGCCTCTGAAAGGTGCTTAAGTGGCGCTCCAGCGTAAAAACTTTCTGGGCAGCCACATGCAAAATTAAATTGACCACTGCCTGCTGCCATGATTGTACACAGAGCTGAGAAAAAGGTTCTTCGAATTGCTGTCACATGAAGGGGAGGTGTGAAATTGGTAGATAGCGCTTTACATCAATAGTAGGTGGGGTTAAGAGTAAAAACAAAGGAGACATTTGATTGTTTGTCTTTAATTTATAAAACAGTGGTCCTAAGAGATGCAAGCACATGTGGCAAGATACAAGTAAAACACATGCCATTACAAAAGAGGCTAGGATAACACTTGGCAGGCATAAAGTTTTGACCACTGCTTGCCAAACAAACAGGCGACCCTTGATCCTACCCAGTACGCTGACTCTCTGAACACAACCCCCCCCCCCCCTGTCAAAAAAGGAAAATGTCTGAGACAAAATTTCTTTTTCTGGCTCCCTTTGCAGTTCCACCTTGGGACTGGCTCAACTGTAAAATGAGACGCCCACCTGCCTAAGACAACCCTTTTTCTCCCTCATAATGGGTGGCCATCTTGGACAGTTTCGACAATTTTTTTTAAATCCAAGGGGGAAGAGGAAAGGGAGGAGTGGGCAGTGGTCATTTATACAAGTGAGTGTCTTAAGCAGGTGGCCATTAAAGCAGGTTCGACTGTATTTTGATCTCTTATTTCCACTACCAGTATTTTCATTCCAATAAAAGCAATTAAACAAGCCTTCAGACCTACTCAAAAGACTAAATATATGAAAGAGGATTGAACAAACACAAAGAAAAACTCACCTTTTGTGATGTACAAGTAGAAGAAGTCACAGTAGAGAATTGTCTGAACACAGCCAGCAACGACAGCTATCAAATCAAAGAATCCCTCAAAGTAATAGCGGAAGACCCAGTTCAAGATGTACAGAGCCCTGTACGATCCTGTAGATCAACACAAAGACAGAGTTACAATGCAAGTGAAAAATCTGTATTAAAAAAAGACCCACCAGTAGCATCATCATCATCAATGCCTTTCATCCCTGTCAAGGTATAGACTGTATACAAGCTCCTTCCATTTATCTCTGTCCTGGGCCATCCTTCCTAGCAGTAGCATCATATGCTAAAAGAAATTTTTAATTGTTTCCAACTAGTATAGCCTTGCACATCATCACTTTACTGTATTAGCAATGACATGACTACGTTCCTCAGCATTGTTAAGTTGGCATTAGATATTAAATATATGTTTATGAAAAGATAAACCATTATTGATTAAATAATGTCAAACCTGTATCTCCCACCCCCTACTTCCCTACTAAAAACAAAATATCACATACAAAATCTAAGTAACAGTTAAGATTTTCAGTCACATGTCCAGTACTATGCCAATAATCCTACCCTATCCACCTCAGCTGTCGTGAGATCAAGTCAACAGCCAATAGATTAAAATATGTTCTCTCAAAGAACACCATCAGATGAAAATGAGAAATTTATGTAACAAGAGTAAACTTTCTAAGACCTTCCCTGCCAAATGTTTTCAAAGGAAAAAAATTATCACAGCATTAGAACAGTAACGTACTATCTGTACCATCTTGCTGTGATCTGGCTCGGTAACAATTATTTCTTCTAATGAAACTAAACTGTGAATCTTTGACTACCTGGCACAAAATCCACAGGCCTTTTCAAAGCATCATGTGATATGTGACTCACCCAAAGCAAACAAGTAGTGAGACGTGATAGTCTCAGCCTCTCCGGTCTTGCTCATCATGAACAACTGAGGTAAGATGGCCACGGATTCCAAATAGATGGAGAATGTCCACAGGATCTAAAACACAGCAAAAGACATTTTTAAATGTTGAAGAAATTATTGAAAACTTGAAATTTAAAAAAAAGGTGAGCAAGCAATATTTATGAATACTAAAATAGTAAAATACCACAGCAATCACCGAAGCAAAACTGCCTCACTTCTTTTTCACAGTGCCGTGATTATTTCACTGCCTTTTTCTTTCTTTTATCTTCTTTTTACCTTTACTTTTATTCATAAAAGTTTAATGCTTTGGTGTTTAGTATTGAACATAAAAGATCGCAATGAAATAAAGGCACGCTCAGGAGACTACCTTGGGTCACCACTTGTCTTTACACCTACAGGTGAATATCAGGCTTTTAAGCTGTTCACTGCGCAAAATTCCAGAAGAAAACTTATTAAAAAGTAATTGCAGTACTACATTTGTCTTTACCCCAATGCATAAATATACTACATACTAGGCAAAAAGTGAAGATAGTCTACTTCTGCAGGTAGTAAAACAAAGCAGTTTAAAAACTGTCATTAGTGAAATCAATGACAGGTGATGAGGCTCTAGTTAAGCAGGGACGAGACCTCTTTCAGTCATCAAAGCTATTACCCACTCCTACAGACTTCAACATAAGTTAAGGACCACTTGCAAACACTCTGAGTGGTCTTCTTGGGTCGACCTATACGTAGGCGTTCTTGGACGGATCCAGTGGCTTGATGGCGTTGCCTCAAGCGGACAATGACAGAGTGTGACACTGCAAACCTTCTGGCAACTGCTCAGGCTCCAACTCCATCCTGCAGCCACGCCATAGCTCTGGCACGACCAAAGTCCCTCAGCTTTCGTCTTGATGGTATATTGATGCGATACTAAATTTTGCACAAACAGCGGCTTATATTGCCACCAAAGTGAGCACAGTTCGAGACCTTATGTCCGTTTATGACGTGCACCAGAAATTTAAACTGAGGAACGTCCATGGTGTCGCACACAAGTCGATAAAAAACCAGCAAATTTGGCTAAAATCCCCCAAGGATTTTCGTGCTGCACGTGGTGATTTTGCCCCAGCTTTGCAATACACCTTGGTAATACATTAACACTTTCAGAGCAAAACATTTTAAAGCATTCATTGAAGTCTTTTTTTGTATTTTTTAAAAATCAGGGCTGTCTGTCGAAGTGGTCCTTAACTTCTATTGAAGTCTGTACTTCAAACTGTTTCTTACACAAAGCCACAGAATACATCAATTAAAGGTGACAATTCCAGTACAATGAACCTTGCATCCACCAAACTTGATTCAAGAACCCCCAAACTCACTGAAAAGAGAAAGAACCCCCCCCCCCCATAAACAAAAACAAAAAAACCTAAATAAAAATGTTCTGCTCAATGAGCCCAAATATGAACAACCAAGGACGCAACAAACAGCTCGCCTTGCAAGCATGCCTAGCTATGTACAGGGTGATCCAAAAAACTTTTTCTTTTTTTTTTTTGTTAACATTTTCCCCCACACTGATGTTTTGTGTCTTAACTCATTCGCTACGTATTATTTTCAGCTTGTGGACGAATTCTTTTCGGGAGGGCGAAATGAGATGATGACTCGTGCGCAGTTCACAGGTCTTGGGGGCCATAAATTCAAATAAATATCAACATATTATATACCAACATTTTCAGTATCGTTTGTAGAATACCTGCATTATTTATTTGCGTATTTTTCAACTTTGGTTCCTGTAAGAGGCGATTATGCAACACAATTGTGATTGGATGCGGATAAAATTGGAAAATAAAAAATTTATAATCTCAGGTGAAACTAAAAAAACATGTTTGCACCTAGTCAAATGATACCTCAAAATAACCATAACTGAATATAGAACAGTAAAATATTGAAAAATGTGGTTATTTACATACATTCCATAATATTTGTACATTTGGATCATAACATCCGATATTGAAAAAAAAATTTTTTAATTTATAATTTTGAAAAAAGGATCACAAACAGAAAAAAATACGGGTAACTTATATGGAATTATTCAGAATTGCATTTGGAATAAACCTATACATGTCTTGAGTGGTACTTTTTGATATATTTCACCCAAAAGTAGTGATTTTGGGGAGAAAAAATTATTTTGACTATTTAGATCTAGGCCTAGATCTAGCACTCAAAAATATTGATTTCTCAATTACAATGCACCGGCAATTTGCGTCCAATAGTATCAATATTACAAAGAAGAGTCTTACACTTCTTTAGTGAGCAAAATAATTATACATTTTGTTGTGTAAAAGTACTAAGACTGGTGTCTGGGCTATAATTTGGGCTTCGCGATAAAACAAAGTCGAATAAACTACGAAATCATGTTTCAAAACTGAATCAAAACTTCCGATTTTCGGTCGAAACGCTTGACCCGGAAGTCAACATTATATTATGACCTTTATATTAACATGGATAAGTGGATTGGAATAGAAACCAAGCTAAAATTGAACGTCGGTTCTCGAGCCGCCGGGGGCGGCTTAACGTACTGACGGCACTTGAGCCGCGCCGCCCCCCACGGCTCGGCGTAGCGAATGAGTTAAATTTGTACACAACATTTGGAAGTCAAAAGGAATTTTTGTCGGATATTCTTTTTAGAATCACAGAAAAAAACAACCCATTTTCAGCTATGTCCCCATTTTTGTAGCATGACGCACTAGTTCGCATTAGGCCTACCACTAAAAATTCCAACGATTGCGCCACATTGCTAACTACAGTAGTCTAACAGGCCAACAGAAGTTTGCAGATAGTTTCTCTCAAGTTTCCTTCGCATGCTGAGATCATGGTTAAGATTAGCAAAGAGCAGAGAGCTTTTTATATTGAACATTTCCTCACCATTAAATCATTTCGTAAGTTTCGCACAAGATAAGGAATAATGTTATGGTGCCCTTAAGGCCTTCTTTGATGTCAAGGGTGGAATTTGTCCATCAGTTAGGACCTGTAGAGAATTGGAACTAAAATTTCCCAGACAAAATTACCACTTCAGGTCAAACACGAACCGTTCGCATCCTTTTAAACGTCATAAGGGTGCAGAATTCAGTAGATGAGCCCAATGAGACGTCTGTCCGTAGACAATGTCGGCAGCAATGACATTCCCACATCTCAACGATCCACATTCTCAAGGTAAATCATCATCTACGACAGTTACATTTTCCCATTCACGAAGCTATCAGAGACAACAATGTGTTCATGATTCCTCGATTGTCTTGAAAAAAAGTGCAGACATTTCCTCTATGACATTTTGTTCCTTGGCAAAGCCCATATTCACCTTTTAAGTTTGTTCAACTCCACATATGCTGTCTATTTGGGCAACCTCACCCCCTCACCTCCCCTACCCCATATTGTCTCTAGAAACAGCTCCATACTGTAAGGTGTACCGTGAGTGTGGCTTTGAGTACTCATGGTTGAGTGGATCTTTGTGTTTGGCACCACTGAACATTACGAACGACGCATTAAAATGTGTCGAGTCCAAAGGAGACATATATAGACAAAAAGGTTCCCATTTGTCACACCTTGTTTTCACTGAGATCCCTGCCTCAGAAAAACTGAACATCAAAGAGATGAATTCAGGGACTGCAAGGTTCACTGTATTATTGACAACATCACCAGGGTGCAGAATTCAGTAGATGAGCCCAATGAGTCGTCTGTCCGTAGACGATGTCGGTAGCAATGGCATTCCCACATCTCAACGATCCACATTCTCAAAGCAGATCTTCATCTACGACTGTTACATTTTCCCATTCACGAAGCTATCAGATACAGCAATGTGTTCATGATTCCTCGATTGTCTTGAAAAAAGTGCAGACATTTCCTCTATGACATTTTGTTCCTTGGCAAAGCCCATATTCACCTGTTAGGTTATATCAACTCCACATATGCTGTCTATTTGGGCAACCTCACCCCCCCCATCCCATATTGTCTCTAGAAACAGCTCCATACTGTAAGGTGTACAGTGTGTGTGGCTTTGAGTACTCATGGTTGAGTGAATCTTTGTGTTTGGCACCACTGAACATTACGAACGACGCATTAAAATGTGTCGAGTCCAAAGGAGACATATATAGACAAAAAGGTTCCCATTTGTCACACCTTGTTTTCACCGAGATCCCTGCCTCAGCAAAACTGAACATCAAAGAGATGAATTCAGGGACTGCCAGGTTCACTGTATTATTGACAATTAACCTATCCCACATGAGAGAGAAATCAAACTGTATTGACTTAACAAAATGGTGTAACCCTGAATGAAACAAACCTCGAGGGGACTGAAGTTGTGATTCACCAGGAAAGCCAGGCCACCAACGGGCACAACCAAGAACTCGAGGCGGAAGGTGTCGTGGTTTGCGTCATACGTGGCACGGAATTTGAAGTACATGAGGTAAACCGTGACCAAGGATGTGGAGATGAAGAACAGCTTCATGGTAGAGTTGTATGCCGAAATGAAAGCAGTGAAAAGGTCCAGGTAGCGGGTGGCAAACACCAAGGCAAACAGGATCTGACTCTTGCCAGAAATACCTGAAAGAGAAATGCATTACTCATCAGAAAATAAATAACATGAAGTTATAACATTCCAGAAAAGATATCAAACAAATGAAAAGACCCCAATAATAACCATAGCTAACACATTCCATCTGTGTACATGATATAGAATATAAAATTTGAAGCCAGAAACCAAAATTCATTTTAATCTGGTTGGCCCACTGTGTACAAAATTCACATCCATTAAATCCATATTGGTTTACTTTTCTTCAACAATATCTTATTCCGATTTCACATCACAAGTTTTTCTTACTGTTATAGAAACAAAAAGTATTATCAGTCAAGCAATTTGTCATCAGAGTCAAACTCATCCAAGATAGTGAATTCTACACAAGAAAATTATTTTAAAAGAAAATAAAAATGACTTGAACTACTAAAGAAATGTGGTAAAAAAAATAACATGAAATCGCTTTTAAAATACTTAAACTAAATACCTACACTAATCACATGAGGTAGACCCCCCCCCCCTTCCGAAACTCCCTTCTTGACCTTTTTCAGTTCAGGCGCAACGAACTATACATTTGGCTATATCACTGGGGCAAGGTTCTGAAAAACTCACTATTCTCATATATATATTAATGATATTAATTAATCATTATATCAGGGGGGCGAATGTTAAAAGTGGTCTCCGAACAATTTAGCTCTCTTCTATTTCTGTCTTTCAGAATTTTTGAGAACAGAGAGTAGGAGGATCATCATTCCCTCTTGACATTTTTACATACTTTTCAGGACCTGTGTACTTTTTATTACAGCTGTCAAAGATCAGCAGTTATTTTTTATTTCGTCTTTAGAATCGGAGCAGATTTGCTGAAAGTGCATCTTTAATAATGTTGTATTAATGGTCATCAAGATCTTTTAGAAGCAGCAAAGACTCACACGGCTGCACCTTCTGATATCAAACTACGTCTAAAAAGACTACGATGTCATCATTATCTGGAAAGCTAGCCGATTAGATGTTCATTGATTAAAGAATGGCAGAAGATGTAACTGAAATTTATAACGAGTAGAGGTCCACATCATAATACCCAGACCACCCTGAACCTTTTCATCTCTGCTCCTGAAAAGTTCTTAGACCTAACTTAATTAATAAATGGGGGAAAAGGGTAAAAAGAGAGAAAAAAACTTTTGAGCATGTTCACAACCTTGACTCTTAATTTTTAACACTCAGCCACATTTGACAAATGACCTTCAAAATGATCATAAAACAATAATGATTTTGACACCACAAGTGTCTACTTAGGCTAATATGACTCCCACAAAATGGCAACATGTACATGGCTCAGAAATAAATATAAGACTAGCATGTGGTTATTGGGGTAAACCTCTTAGCCCCTCAAGCAGCCATCATATGACACTGCTCAAGCTACAACAGATGGGTGTACCCGAATCTGACAACACATTTTATTTTACCACCAGGAAATGACAAATGTTTGTTACAAACAGTGAAACAGGCTCTATTTATAGGCAATAATTCAGTAATTAATAAATATATAAAGGTTGGGTAAGATATATGTTAACACAAACTTACACAGGATTCAGGTTCAGAAAAGGCTGAGAAAGCAATCAGAATTTCTCTGAAGTTGCAAAAGGAAAAAGGCTTTACAGAGACTGAGCTAAAGACAATGGAAGTGATTATTCACACAGGGTGTGCGCATAAGAATTAATTTTATTCACACCGGGTGTGCGTAAAAAATTAATATTATTCACACCGGGTGTGCGAATAAGAAATAATTCTATTCGCACAGGGTCAAGCCTATGTTGATTTTTGGACCTCGTTTGTCTCACCCGGGTATCCCACCTTTTGGCAAAGGCTTTAATTGTTGTAAAACAACCGTACACTAGTATAATAATTATATTGTACTTGTTTCAGTTTTCTTAGGGTTAAAGCATGCACTCCTCTCTCTCTCTCTCTCTCTCTCTCAAGGCGCAAGGAAAACAAAAAACGAAAAAAAGAGAGATTTGAGTCATCATCATCAATGACACAATACACAACTTGAATTTCAATTTGAGTGGGGATTTTTCGTATCGCATTGCACAATTAGAATTAGATCTAGATCTAGATCTATCCCTACAAGGATAGCACTATGTTCATTCAGTCCGAAAAGTGTTCGCAGAAGCCTGTGCATTGCTTCAGATGGCGCTGGAGTCTTTGTTTTGAAGCTCTCTTTCGTTTCCCCAGAAGAAGAATAGGATATAAGCAGTCTGTTAATTTCCGTTATATTGTTTTTCACATATGTAGGGTAACCCTGTTCGCAAAGTCCGCACTTTTTCGAAGAGGGCACCAAATTTTGAGAACACTTTTTTAATTGGCTCAAAGAGAGGAGTGAACTAGATTCTAGATCTATCTTGTTATATGATCTTTGTCCCTAAGCGATGTAGGGAAAAAAAAAGAGGAAATGCTAGGCCCCCTATTAATTTACATCCTTCTTTTGAAACGCCCTGTGCCAGTAATATTTTGTAGCATTCACACATACTGTGCGAATAAAATTTCATAGTATTCACACACCCTGTGTGAATAAAATTTCATAGTATTCACACACTGCGAATAAAATTTCATAGATCTAGATCTAGATCTAGATTCTAGTATTCACAAACCCTGTGTGAATAAAATTATCAGTGTGCGAATACAATTCCATATTATTCACACACCCTGTGCGAAAAAGTACAGCCAAAGACAATCATGAGACGGGTTAAAAATAACGAAGTGTATACAGACCCAGTAACCGGGAACAAAGTCACGAAGTATACAGACCCGGTAGGGGAACTCTTTTTTGAGATTTCGGAGTTTCAGCGCCCAGACCCGGTAGTGTGTGTGTGTGTGTGTGTGTGTGTGT